TTGGCGAAGCGCGGTGACAGCGGGCCAATAGAGAGCAGGATCCTTGCCATAATGAGGTTTGCGCGCCAATTTTCGTACGTACGTTAATCGAGCCAAATAGTTTGGCCGAATATTCGGTATTCGGCCTCAGGCCGAATATACTATTCGTTGCAACACTAATTTATATATAAAGAAAAAATTGTCATAAAACAATATTATATTTTAAAATCAATTATTTTCCTTAAAATTATTTCACTGATGAATGTGATTAATAGATATTGTGATGTTAGAATTATTTAAAAAACATTGTTGCAACCAGACTTTGTATTGTATTAGAAAGCACACGTGATAATCTTATGCAATCATTGTGTAAACTATTGTAAGGAGATTCTAAACCATTATTATTATTTGTTTTCGAACGAAAATCTACATTAAAATACTTCTACAATTGTAGAAGTTACGTTATGTTTAACAGTTAATTCGCTCGGAATCTAATTCTTGTTTCAATAAATTTTTATTAAAAGTTTAATAATGTAATTGCTTTATTAAACAGCTTAACACATTTAGAGAAATTTTGATTACAGGTATACCTCGCCTCACGTCGGTAATTGGTTCCAGGAGAAGCGACTTAAGCCGAATTTACTTGTCACTAGGCTAAACCACAAATAGCCATTCCCAGTTCTGTATTTTATTTATAGATGCATTTTTAATAATATATGGTTAATAAGAATCTATTTTAAGCTTACAAACAAATAAATTTTAGTTTTTAATATAGTACAGAAAAAAATAATCTAAATTTACGAATTCATGTACAGTACATACAGTACAATACATACTTGTACCGTACATGTTTACAGTATATCGCGGACTCTTTCTTTCTGTCTTCTTCTTCGATGGTGTTTATATGGAGATTTTAGCTCAATGTAGGCTCTTTCTCCGAGTAGACTTGTGTAAGTGTATGATCGCTAGGCGACCGATTAGCCGGCTGTATCGAACAGCCATACGTACGCGCGGGAAATAAATGCCTTCCGGGAGGACTTTTATGGGGAACTGGCCTCCTATTCAGTCGTTATAGGCAAGGAGAAAACCCGGAAAACTCCAAGCAGCCAGCCTGTCCGACCGTGGCGCGAACCCACGACGAACCTCCCAGTCTTTAGGGTCTGGTCACCTCTTTCTTTGTGAATGTGGTTTGCTCTTAAGACATTATAAAATAAGATGATTTTGTAAGGTTAAATAACAAATACGGTTATTAAAATTATCTTGCAAGAGTAGAAAATAAACTAATTTATATTAAATTTACCAATATCGAGTGGCGCTGACGACGACGCCAAACGGTAGATATTGGAACTTCCGTAGAAAACACAAATATTGAGCACTTAAATCTCCTTTTATGCTTTAATTAATTAAAATTATTTTTATTGTTCATAAAGGAAACTGTATTAGTTTATTTTAAAAGTAGCCTAACTTAAGTATAATTTTAACATAATTTTTTTTTTACAATTAAAAAATTTTTTAAACAAAAATTGTTTACGAGTTAAACTACCAACTTTCGAGGATTAAAATACTACGACGTTAAAATTCTTTGTTGAGAATTTTTAATAGATTTACTGATTAAAGTTGAACATTGTTTTTGTCTCGTATTCAAATTAAAGCACCAGTTTAAGAAATATGCCGTTTATTATCTGACATTTTAAGCTGGTAACTGTACATCCGTCAGAAATGAACAACCCGTGAACTGCACGCGGCTCCCCAAAATGTGATTTTATTTTCCTCTTTTCTGCGTAATGGCATAAAGCAGAAGACAGTAAAATAAAATTACACACACACAGACACACACAAACTTAAATTTGATCATTAAACTGTAAAGTAGTGTTTTTCAACCTGTGGGTCGCGACCCCCAGGTGGGTCGCAAAGCCATACACGGGGGTCGCGGGTAAAAGAAAAAGACAAGTGTTTTTAGGTCCTACACTACAATAAAAAAAACTACAATTTCAGTGAGAAGGCTGTGCCTGTTTATATAGAGTACAATTAGTTTTTTGATCGATATTTAGGTCTCAACAGAAAGAAAATTAAATACTGTAAAAGAAAATCATTGACAGTTTTAATATGGCCGTGGGGGGTCACCAGAATTTTTTAACTTGTAAAGGGGTCGCGTATTCAAGAAGGTTGAAAAACACTGCTGTAGAGTGTAGACTATACTACTAGTTTGCATATAACTGGCATGTAGCTTTTTAGTACCTAGTGTATTGGAAGAAGATATGGAATATGTTGATACTCAACAAAGTTAAAGCCTGCAATTCCGTGAGAAAACACGTATGCAGCCAGTCGAAAATCTGGTTGAGAACTGCAAGTGAGCTTACAGCTTTTAGCCAGGAAGCGTTGTTCATCACTTTTTTAGATTATGTTACCTCACTTTTCGTATTTATCAACCCAATCCTACATTCGATTACGAAGTGGATTATCCAATTCTCGAATTAAAGTGAAAATACATACTACAAGTTCCTTCAATTTGTTTGAATGCGCCATGACGTGCTGCTGTTCGATTTGTCACGCTCAAACTACTCAAATGATTTCAAAATTTAGTAGACAATGAATTTTCGCGATAAAATAAACTATACTAACTTCGAGAAAGAAGTATTGTTATAATTGGTAGCAAAATATAAAAATTTATTAGAAAATAAACAAATATAGGTGAAAATATATATATCGTTTTGTTATAAAATGTTAAAAACGAAAGCAAATAAAGATCGAACGGAAAAGAAAACAAAGAATTTATTTAAAACTGGAAATCCCGTAATGATGTAATCGTTTATGTAAATCGCCTATATCAATCATAAGCGATTGATTTTGGAAACATCAGAATAAAAAAACAATCTATTGTCGAATAGCTTTTCATTATCTCGCTGAACCACAGACTTTTTCATTTAAAAAAAACGCATCCACTATTTATATGACGATAATCATGGCCACACATCCTACAGCGGGGCCTCAGACCAGGAGCATTGGCGAGCCATCCAACCACTCGAACCCGAGACCTTAGTCATGTGAGGTGAGAGACCCAACCACGGCTCCCGCGGCCACTTTGGTAAATGACAGAAAAAAAAAAAATATTATGTTCATTCACAAATTAAGCACGCATTTACAAAAGCATAGAGTAGATTTATCAGAGACAATAGAGGAATTACACCGACAAATTTTACAATGACGAACACGACATTAAAAAACAAAAACACAAGAACTGAAAGAATGGCAGAAATTGAAAAACAAAGCACATCAGCGAGACAAAATACAAGAAAATATCGATTAAATAGTGGCTTAGCGTGGGTGTCAGCCGCCCGAGTCAAAGGAAAATTTCGCCGTCCCGTTATTTAGGTATCTCAATTTGAAAGACAAATTCTGTTTCGTCACAAAATAAGTAATGAAAAATTCCGTGCTAGTGCTGCCACTTTTTAAAAATAGCTCTATTGGATATTGGAGGCGTATATGAATACGAATGAATCATAGCAGCAAAAAAAAAAAAAAAAATCGACAGGTTGAGCACGATATCGCCGGGTAAAATTAATAGTTCACCCGGACGATGAGCCGATTCCCGGACTGTCCGGATGGTAACACCATTCCGTGCTCATTTCAATCGGTCCGAATCGTAGGTGCGACGAAAATATGAAATAAAATGGTTCAAATTTTTACAAGATATTATTATTTATTGTGAAATTTTGCCGCCCCCTAAAAAGTGCCGCCCCACTACGCTACGCCACTGCGATTAAATTATTTGGCAGTAAATTTTCTGGCTAATTGCCATAATTGTAAACGGAAAAACTCTGATAAAAGTTTTTTCAACTTTCCTCATGACTCAGAAAGGGGATTTTTATACTTTTATGATTGTTATATTAAGTTAATAATAGTAGTTTAGAATATTAATTAAACTATTTCAAGAATTAAATACTCCAATTAAATTGAACTCAATATTTCACAAATGTAATCAAAATAATTTACATTTGCAATTCGATTCTAGAAGAAGTTGAGGAAAAAAAATGTATAGGCCTAATCCCGAAACTCTTGCAGAGTACTAAAATCAGTCTCTCTTGAAATATATACATTTAGCTTATAGGTAAATTCGGTTATTGCAGTTACTGATTTAATACTATAATCCCAGTTATTGCTCCAAAAATCGAGTTATTGCAGCTTATTGCTCCCATATGTTATTCTTCTTGATTATCGCGGTGTTTCTCCTGGAAACATTAAGGGATTTGTCTGTATTTAGAGACTAAAAGTGATGTCATTTCAATAAATTTGTTTAGTGATGGTTGTGATGATTCATCGATGTGACACAGGCTTTTAATTATATATATTAAATAAGAGAAATGCTTAAAAATTAACAAGAAAATATATTAATATTTTAGAAGATTTTCGCGTTGAAATACTTTTAAAATTATGTTTAACGTACATAGAAATCACGTAAAATACAAAACCATTTATATACACGTTTAATATCCAGAGACTATTAATTAAAATTGGATCGAATTTTAAAACAAAATATTTATTTAGAACAAAAATATAGATGTAAAATATTTCATTATTTATATAAATAAGTTCATTCTCTTAATATTGAAAATTTCTTTTCGTTAGAAATGAATGTTTCGTTGGAAATCATGTTTATAATCATCACTTAATCATTTTCAAGTGTTAAAATCATTCAAATTATACTAATATGTTATTTATTCAAATGACTATAATTAAATAAATAATTGAATAATTTCGTATATTTAAAACAATGTCATTCAAATGCAATTTCTAGTCTCATTTAATATCTATTAAATGCATTTCACAATTACATTGATAACATAAAAAGCAATATTATAATTATACAAAAGAGAGTCTCATTTAATATCTATTAAATGCATTTCACAATTGCATTGATAACATAAAAAGCAATATTATAATTATACTAAAGAGAAGATAAAATAAAAATAATTATAAAACTGAACAGAACGGCAGATAATTATATTTTATATAATACTTACGTGAAACAGAAACTTGAAAACAGATAATAAGTATTGCAAAATTGAAGAAATTCGTCATTCTCATTAGGCAGTTTGTTACTAAAATCAGAAATATTTAACTAAATATTCTGAATAATTCTAAAAATTCTTTAAAAGATGTCATTTTCCTGCGGATAAGAAAATGCAACGAGGAATAAAACACATGCTAAAACAGATTATATAGATGTAAAGGGAGGAAGTAAATGGAGGAAATACGCAAATGGCATCATCATCTCGTGAAGTTTGACAAGATTTAAAGAAAAAAATAAAATCATTTTAACTTATCTTCACGGTATAAAATAAAAATCCCTTAATTAAATTTAAAACGTTTTCATTTTTTAACAATTTGAATTCGGACATTCGATACCATTCTTTCCATTATTCTAAATTTAATATAACATGGCGAGTTATCTTGCAATCATATTTATTACCATTAATTTTTTACGAGTCATATGCAATATTATCATTAGCTAAACAAAATATAATATATATATATATATGGGGTTACATCAGTCAAATTCCTGAACTGTTAAGAAAATAAACGAGGGGATGCGGAGAAGACGAGTGAGAACAGGAGAGGGAGATAACAGTTGGAGAAGGCACGAAGAGGACTAAAGACGGTTAATGAAAACAAAATATATTCTTCGCTGACAGCTTTAAAGCTCGAGAAAAAAAAAACAAAACTTGGCACTACCGAGTTACACAATCCTTCAAATTTTCGGAAGTACGTGGCTTAGTTTTGTTTCCAGAGTGGTCTAAAGGAGGTATACTTTAATTAAAGACACCACCTATATAATAAAACACCAGTAATTTAGATTTCACTAAAACTTTGTAAACAATGAAGTTAAGATTACAGTGTGGAAATGTTACCTAACAAAAAATGTTCTGTTATAAACTCTGAGGAACATAAAAACGATTTAATAACACTATTTACAATGAGACCAACTGTTTAATTATAAGAGGATGCTTACTATGATAAGAAAGACACGTGGTTGTTATCTGTAAACGTGTTATCTACCAGCGGATATAAAATTGACGATTACTAAAATATAGTTATATTTTCTTCTTTAAGTTATTGGATGTTAATTTAAATCAGTTGAGAACATGATTAGAACGATAGGAGGATGTAGGAATTTTTCTTCCTCTCCTAGAATTCAAACAACCATAAAAAATGTTGTTGTTATTGGAGGAGGTTTGATGGGCTCGGGAATAGCTCAGGTAATTTTCTATTTAATTAACGATACGAAGATCTCATTTTTATAATGTGTCAATAGTTTCAATTGTGTAATTATTAATGAAATTTATGAAATGATTTAACTAAACGAAATTTGTATATTTGTCCTTTTTTCTTTTACAATGTACAGCAGAAAATTTTTTTCTATTTTATAATATTTAGATCTGAATGAGAGATGCTTGTCTCTTGAGACAGGCATCTTTTATACAAATTGAAATATTATAAAACAAATCTTTGAAGAAATTTGTCTCATGAGAGAATATTTCATTTCATTGATTGTAACTGCAAAGTCGAATTATAAAACCAAAGTTCAAGGTTGGTCAAACAGTTCTTATTCTATTTTGATACATCGTCTAGTTTATCTAGATTTAAAGTTGAAGGTTCATCGTTCACAAGAACGTTTTATCAACATACAATCCACAGAATTACTACAATTTTATTTCGGTTAAAAAAAAACTAAAATAAATGGACACGATAAAAAAAAAAACTATTTTAATACAGTCGACCCCCTATAACACTGTTGATTATTCCGTTTTATATGAATTCCATGTTGTACGAGTCACTTAGATTTTACAAATACGTGTGCCGGGCTGTGAATGGCTCACGTATTTGCAAAATCTAAGTGACTCGTATAACATGGAATTCTTATAAAACGGAATAATCAACAGTGTTATAGGGGGGTCGACTGTACATTATTACATTACGATGTTACATTGAAATATCTGATAGTTTTATTATTATAATAACAATACAGGTAGCAGCACAAACAGGCCATGATGTGACTTTAGTTGATATCAAAGAAGAAATTTTAAATAAATCTGAAAATAACATTAAAAAGAGTTTACAAAGAGTATCAAAAAAGAAATTTCCTAGTGATAATCAGGTAAAATTTAATGACATTCTATTAATTACCATATTCACTCAATTAAATATATATTTCTTTTAAATTAATTTAAATTAAATTAATTTTGTTTTTATAATTAATAGGCTGGCCAAAAATTTATAACAGATACATTAATGCATTTGAAAACTATGACAGATCCTAATAAAGCAGTGAAAACTGCTGATCTTGTTATAGAAGCAATTATTGAGAATTTAGAAATTAAGCAAAATTTATTTGAAAGGATAAAAATTTGATTTGGATAAAAATGCTCCACAGTAAGTATCAGTAATTAATATAATAATGTATTTCAATATTAATTGATATTAAGATTCAAAGCATTCACTTCTATAAATATCAATGCTGTGGAGTTTGAATTGGAAGTAAATTTGTTGCTAGAAGAATTAGAGTCAGTAGAAATGAAATGACTAACTCCTGTTTTTATTATATACTTTGTATCAAACTTCTAACCTCTTATCTTGCATTATAGGAGCATCTGTAAAACAAGATCTTATTTTATGATTCCTTTATTTTATGGTCTTTATTTGCATATCACTAATTATTGTTAATTTTCTTTTTGGAATTTATATTTGAATACATTGTCTTTGCTAATTCTAACTTTTTATTGTCAAAAGATTCATATAAAATGGTTAAAAAAGGCTCAGATTAGCTTAAATCTATTGTTTTTGAATAATTGATTTATATAATAAAAAAACACGTGTTTTTTATTATATAAATCACATCTTTTATATATAAAAATATTTTTTATATAAAAAAACACATCTTTTATCATTTTTTCCTCTATCTACTGTAAATTGTAATATGCTTTTCTTCGTTAAAAAATACAGCAACAAGTTGCTTAACATTCCCATCGACATTTAAAACTGAATATGTGGCGCCATCTGTTACGCTATTTTATTATTAAAATTTTTTAATATTTTTAAATACGTTTAATTTTGAAGGTAGGGATGGGTTTTATAAACAATTGTAAATGCTAATAACGAATAAAATCGTCATTAAATCCAACCTTACTGGAGATACGACAAGCGACCACCCTTAATCTCTCCACCTCGTTGACATTTAATCGCCAAAATTTAATAGTATTAATTAACATAAAAGATAAATAAACAGATTCTTAGAACTTTTAGTTTTATTTTTATACCAGATATACTATTTTTGCTTCAAATACTTCTTCATTATCAATTGAAGAAATTTCAAAAACTTCTCAGAGGAAGGATCGATTTGGAGGATTACATTTCTTTAATCCAGTTCCTGTTATGAAATTATTAGAAGTAAGAAATTTTAATTAAAAAATAAAATAAAATAAAATTTTTATTTTAAGTTTGTAAAATTTTAATTCTAATTATACATTTAAATTTCAGGTTATAAGAATTCCAGAAACAAGTGATGAAACATTTAACAAATTGTTGGAATTTGGAAAAAATATAGAAAAAACTACAGTTTCTTGCAAGGTCTATTCATTATTTGAATAAGTAAATTAATTTTTGTGAATTTTTTTGCTATTTTAAAAGATTGACTCTAGTAATATTGTTGATATAACTGTAAATAAATTAGAATTATTTTATAATAATTTATAATTAAAAACAGAGATAAAAATTTTGGATATATAGTAGCCCTCCCTACAACACTGTTGATAATTCCGTGTATAAAATCTAAGTGACTCCTACAACATCGAATTCATATAAAATGGAATAATCGACAGCGTTATGGGGGGTGGACTGTATAATATTGAGACATCAAAAAATAATTACAGTAATATTTATTTAGGATACTCCAGGTTTCATTGTGAATCGTTTATTAGGCCCTTATACATCGGAAGCAATACGAATGTTGGAAAGAGGTAATATATATTTGATTATAAATTTTTAATGGAATTTTATTTTAAATTGAAAATTGTCATTAGATTAAGTCTAACCTAAAATAAGTAATTATACATTGTTTAGGTGATGCATCTGCTAAAGATATAGACACAGCAATGAAATTGGGAGCTGGATATCCAATGGGTCCAATTGAATTATCAGATTATGTTGGATTAGACACAAAAAAATTCGCTTTAGATGGTTTGTATTATTTTTAATTACCAAACCAATTTTTAATTATTATTATTTGTTTTTGATTCCAATATTACTTTTCAGGATGGAATAAAAGATTTCCAGATAATCCTTTATTCAAACCACTTCCAATATTAAATAAATTAGTTAATGAAGGCAAATTAGGAATTAAGTCAGGTGAAGGATTTTATAAATATGATAAAATATAAAAATCAACAACAACAAGGAGTACAGTTCTAGGAGTACTATTTTTTTAAAATATGAATTAAGGAGTACGTGTTGTGATTTCTGAGATTTAAGTTTCGTAATTGTATATTTTAAAATAAATATAATAACGCATCTTTCTCGAATTCGATTAGGTAATTAAAGTAATTCTAAAACAATTGAGTGACATTCTCCGAAAACGACAGGGAGTCCTTACCTTAGTCCCCACGAATCTGGTTTCGGGCGTGCCATTAGTTTCAGTTTGTTTTAATTTTTTTACCTGACTAACGAAACTCTTACAATTAATTTCGTTAGTCTGTGTTCATACCTGCTTATCTTAGCTAATTTTTTTACCTAAATAAAAGGTAGGTAAAACAAGCTGACACATTACAACTGAATAAAATTGTGTGCAGCTTATCTATGTAGTTATACTGTGTACATTTTCATAATATATGCAGGAAAAATCAAACGTTTTTAAATTTATTTTTCTTCCAATACAGACTTATGATTTATTATAGTTTATAAGACAAAAAAAAACACCCATTTTTGTGAGGTATTAGTAACATTTTCATACAGCGCATTAAGTATATATACTATACAAGAATGCCCGACACTCCTCTGTAATCTGCTTTATACGTTACACCAGTCTTAACAGCAATCCCTTAAAAGGATCGTGTTAGTCCTTTTTTAATATCTTTAGGATCAATCGTGTTTTCAACGCTTTCGGGAAANAATTATTTCTTTTATCAATACATATCATAAAGTATAATGTAACCTATTCAAAACTATCTGTTTTATTTAAAGTTTAAACTTTAAATATATAAAACAAATAAAAATTTAATATTCAAACTTTAAAACCCTTAAACTGTAATACAAAAACATGAGAATTTCACTAATTTTCAAAGTTCTTAAATGTTACTTCCAACTCTGAAAATTCTTTCACTTTCAATAAAAGATGCTGAGGGACTTAGATATTTTATAGCTATTTTGCTTAAATTAGAAAAAACTTTTTTTGAACTTTCCACCAAAAAAATGGGTCGCTATGTATTTGTATAAGAGGTAAATGTAAATATTATTCTAATTCTTGATCGAAAGAAACGTTTGTTCGTTTGTTTTGTTTTTTCTTCCTTTTTAAAAACATGCTTTTATTTATTCTTTCGTTCACTAGAAGTTAATTCATCAAATAAATTAGAAAAACTCAGAGATTATCCTCCATCTTGATCGTCTCCAGAAGCAGAAGCTTCAGAATTTAATTCTTCTTGAGATTTTAAATTATCATTATCTAAGCTATTGATTGTCCATCTTTTTATTTTCTCTATCATTTTTTTTTTTTTTAATTTAATTTTGAATCTTGGATCTAACAAGGATGACAACCATAGAGACTTGTTTTCTATATATGCTGAAAATCTTTTTATACTGAATTTTCTAGTCCTTCTATTGTGGAATTAATGCCACTAAAGGAACTACTGCTCTTAGCTTTTGATAATACGACAGACCACTGATATGTGCTCAACGTGGGAATTTTATTGTCTATAGCATATATGCTCAAGGGCTTTTTTCTGTTCAAAGTTTCTTTGTAACATGCAGTAAGTAGAATTGTAGCGAGTAGGAACATCTTGAATTAATTTGTGTTTCTGCAAACCTAACTTGTCTCACAAATCTTCCAATTTGCTTATAGCTACAGAAGAATGATTAAAATGTGTGATAATATTTCTATTAACTGTGATTATAGTTTTCAGATCTTGTTGAGAAAATATGCATTCGTTTAGTGTCAGCTGCAGTGTATGTGTAAACCATGATAATACTTCTAAGTTGCAATTCCTGATTCCAGCTGCCATATTTGCTTCGGAATCTCTCAGTACTAAGAATATCTTATGACTTTTGTCAACTTATATCGTTCAAGAACTATCTTTATCTGTTCGCTGACAAGTGTAGCTGTATGGGAACATTCAAAGAGAACAATTCGCAAAACAGCTCTTGCTGAAAATTATCCTTCAAACAGTGAGGCTGTTACATTTTAAAAAGGAAAATTATTTGTAGTTGCTGTCTAAATATCAGCGGTTAAAGAAATACCGTATATTTTGAATCATCAATAGCTTTCTGAATTTTTGACTGAATATTTTGAAATATATCACGGATGTTATTTTCAGATATATATTTTCTGCTGGGAATATTGTAATTAGGAACGAGTTTTTTAGTAATCTTTGAAATCCTAAATCTGATACAACAAAGTATTCTGTATATCTACGCTTATCATTTATCCAATCAAATAACAAACTTCTTTGTATCGTTGATATTCCACAATTTTTTCTATGTCTTGAAATAAAAGACTGGCATAAAGAATATATAATTACATGCAATAATAATCATAATATAATTAACTATCTTTTTTTTATACTCTTTCCACCCTGTGGGCACTAGGAGGGCCTCTTATAGCAGACCCATTATGGGTTCGGCCAGGCCCACAGATGGGGTGGCCGGGTGATGAGGGACGGGGCCCGACATATCCGAACGGACAACCCCCGAAAAATTCTTGGGGATTCCTTGACCCGTCCGGATTTGATCCCGGGTCCCCCAGAGCGGTGGGCGCCACCTTGGAAGCTCGGCCAATCCGGCCGTCCGTAATTAATTATTAACACAATAAATTATTAACACTAATCGGCCGATTAATCGGTATCGGCCGATAATGCTTGACCGATTAATCGGTAATCGGCCATTTTGCTTATCGGTGCATCCTTACTATAAAGTAATAATTTTAATCTTCTCTACCGTTACTTTTGCCGGAGCAACGCCTGGCCTACTTGCAAGTAATAAAGTATTTTTATATTTTACAATTGGTGTTTGCATGTTGGTACTTTATATTGTACTTATTTTTCTCCCTCGTTTATTAATGTATGAATTTGATACAGTGGCGTGCCGTCATTGGAAGCGGTGGAAGCGCCGCTTCCCTTGTATTTTCTAAAAAATAAATACATATTGCACGATTATTTTCATATAATTAAAATTAATATTTTATTATAACTTCATTATGTATCTTATTACAAATATATATACTACACGTGAAAAAAAACGATAAGATTGTTATTGTATATTCGAATATTAGTGGAGGAATGGAAGCGCTGTATTGTCAGCTTCCAAACAGCCAGCTTATACATACGCATTCGAGCATGGGTTTTACAGAGCACCAACCTCACCCGGTTTAGTTGGTGGAAGCTACACATGTATAACGCTTCCAATTATTTCATCCAGGACCGGTTCCGGGCTGTTAGCCGCCTGCCCGCTAGATATTTGGCCGCCCTCGCCCGATTGTATGAGCCGCGAGTAGTTAAAAAATTAACTGTTACTTCGAAAGCATCATTTACGACTAAATTTAATGAATGAGAGAGAGATGCACGAGGTACAGAAAAAGCTCTAGAATTTATTTTCCTTAAATTTACGATTTATGTATCCGTTGTCATAAAAATTTGTCTTGTCACTTCTTTCCCGAGACTACAAATATTCGAGTACAGAGTAACCGGTTTCGACTTATTTCTACTTAAATAGTAGTTAAACAATTAAGAAATTAGGGAATTGGGGACATAAATAAAACCCTGCTGAAAGAGCCGGAATTTTACTTAAACAAAAGCTTAACCGAACCGATCTCTAGCCGAGTACAGTGGGGACTGATTTCTTCGTAATATTAGATAATAAAGCCAGAAATTTTTCCAGTTCAATGAGAGATATTAAAAATACATTTAGAGAAGTGTACGGTTTTTATTGGCTTATCGAATAAACGATGCGAATGGACCCTAGACCATCACTGACGCGCAATTAACTGATTGCCCCTGGAAGTCGGCTTCTTACAGGAACACAGCTTCCCTATCTTCAAATGTCGCGGCACGGTACTGATCTGATATTAGAAACGCTTTTTTTGTTCATTTTAGTTTGAAATGTATAGCTTATTCTGAACCAGTTTCGGCTATTAGCGCTGTTGTTGCCGCAGCGGCATAATTTAGAACTAATGACTGCTCAGGGTCTAGACTAGGGGTCCCCAAACTTTTTATCCCATCGACCCCTTTATAGAATATTTGCCTTCTTATCGACCCCCAGATTAAGTATTTAACAAAAAAATTAAATCATTTTTGCATTTCTAATGTTAAGCGATAAGGAGACCTGCATAACAATCCAACAAAAGAATTTATAGTTCCCATATTTTATAAAATCCACCCAATAACATTAACAGAAAAAGGAGATATTTTCCATTTATTTATAATCTTAAAAAAATAATAGCAAAATTATGGATAGATGGTAATTTGCCTATAGTTCTTAAACCGTACATGTCATAATACGTAAAATGCACACTTATCTTTGAAAACATAACATTAGTTATATTGGATGAAAAAACCTCATACTGTCATTTTGCGACTACTAATGAAAGCCTTAAAAATATGTAGACATACCTTTTTATTAAAATAGTTGATATTAGTGGGATGGATGTCTCTGAAGAGAAGCATCAAGATTATTGATATTCGGTTGAAAATTGGTAAGTTTTAGTCGCAAATCACCACGGTTTTCCAAGTTCAATCTGTTCCTCTGTTTTGTCAAAATTGCGTTCGCGTGGCTAAAACCAGCTTCAACCACGTATGAAGTTGGGAATGCAAGTAAGAAAGGTTCGGCTTCTGCTCTGAGCTTGGGATATTTAGTGGCAATATTGTTATTGCTCCAAAATTCACTGAGGTTTTTATTTTTAAACAACGCTTTAGCTTCGAGATCTACACATATTTCACTCAATTCATCTTCTAAGCCAGTTTCACTACCTTCATTATCTATTTTTACATCAAATGGATTAGCAAACCATTCGGAAACATGCATATTCTCCAATTCTTCGAAACGTGCTTTAAAGTCTTCTCTTAATTTATCAAGATGTTTAATATATATCTCCAAATCACGGTCGGAAACCTTTTCATTTTCTTTTAGTACTCGCAAGTTTGAAAAATATTTAAAATCGGATCGTGCCAGTGAAGATTTAAATAGCTCCATTTTTACTTGAAAGGCCATTATGATTGTTCGAGCTTGAACAATTGTAACGTTTTTTCCTTGCAAACGCTTCTGTACTATATTAATGATTTTCGATATATTACGATATTTTCTCTGTAAAGGACAAAATATCTACATTTAGATATAAAATACTTACAGTGACAACCCAACTAGAGTGTAACAGTGCAACGTATGTCTGTGTATAAATATAATGAACTACCAGCGTTCATAATATGTTTGCAACACTAGTACAGTTGACAGATGCGTGAAAACAGAGTAACACATGCTTAAAGTGGCATAGGCTAAGGCAAAACTCAAGTTATAACTAGGGTAGTCAGTAATGTTGTTGATCATATCCGTATTTCGAATTTTTATTGGAATATTCTATTTTTTTCCTAGACAATTTAATTAATCCTCTTTGGTATTAATCGACCCCCTTTCGACCCTTGTGTATTAATCGACCCCTGGAGAACTCTTATCGACCCCAAGGGGTCGATATCGACCACTTTGGGGACCCCTAGTCTAGACACTCGAGGGCCATTACTATATCTAATTCCATGATGGCCCGCCATTGCACACTTAGCCAGATCCTTGATGGATATAGAAAAGGGTCTCATCGGGGAACACGAGAGGAAAGAGTGAACAACCGAAAGCAAAAGTTATAAATGTAAATAAAACCCAAACGAATTACAAATTAACTAATAAGTAGAATATTTGGAAACGATGCTAAGGATGGCCAATACATTTATGAAAGAATTCACTGGATGCTCGTGTTTCTATTCTTCAGAACAGAAACATTTTTTGAGAATAAATTTCAAGAATATTCAAAAAATAATGATTCGATATTGAACTCTTTACAGGACAAAAACCTGTTCGCTTCACTTAACACGACGTAACTTAAAATGTCTCGCTTCAATAGCTGTTAAAAGTATATGTACGAAATAAGACACACCAGAGGATGTGTCGAGATAGCCGTGATCGTCTAGTGGTTAGGACATTGCGTTGTGGCCGCAATAACCCAGGTTCGAATCCTGGTCATGGCACTTATTATTTTTTTTAATTTTGTTTTCTCTTGGCTTTTAATTTTAATTAAAGCGGAAATATGAAATTTTTTCAAATGCAATGTGATCGTGCTTTCTATTATTTAACTTTTAGAATACGCTGATATACTGTAGACTATAATGAAAAGATTTAAGGAGCTGGCTGTTCTCAGATTGAGAATCGAAAACGTTATCCATAAACGATAACAATACCGTAGTATTCCGTTAACAAACGGCTTTCTTCTTTAATTAAAACGAAAATATGGAAAAACCAAGAGAAAAAAAAAAGTGCCGTGACCAGGATTCGAACCTGGGTTATTGCGGCCACAACGCAATGTCCTAACCACTAGACGATCACGGCCACTCCGACACATCCTCTCGTCTCTCTTATTTCATACATATACTTGTTAGTTATTGAAGCGAGACATTATTTAGTTCGGTCGTGTTAAGTGAAGCGAAATTAACCTAATTACGTGTACAATTTAATGGAGGAAGGGAGAAAGATGCAAAAATTATATCATTGTACACGATAGAGGGGGTGAGATTGAAGCATTGTCTACTTGGTTTTTTTTTTAATAGCATAAGAATCTGTTCTTACAAGCCTACTTACTGGTCACGTGAATAAATTATTAACTACATGGGCATATTCAGGATGGTGTTTAAGATACTGCGGAATCTGCCCTTGATACCAAAGCAATCGGTTTTGTTATTTTAAAATAAATATAATAACGCATCTTTCTCGAATTCGATTAGGTAATTAAAGTAATTCTAAAACAATTGAGTGACATTCTCCGAAAACGACAGGGAGTCCTTACCTTAGTCCCCACGAATCTGGTTTCGGGCGTGCCATTAGTTTCAGTTTGTTTTAATTTTTTTACCTGACTAACGAAACTCTTACAATTAATTTCGTTAGTCTGTGTTCATACCTGCTTATCTTAGCTAATTTTTTTACCTAAATAAAAGGTAGGTAAAACAAGCTGACACATTACAACTGAATAAAATTGTGTGCAGCTTATCTATGTAGTTATACTGTGTACATTTTCATAATATATGCAGGAAAAATCAAACGTTTTTAAATTTATTTTTCTTCCAATACAGACTTATGATTTATTATAGTTTATAAGACAAAAAAAAAAAACACCCATTTTTGTGAGGTATTAGTAACATTTTCATACAGCGCATTAAGTATATATACTATACAAGAATGCCCGACACTCCTCTGTAATCTGCTTTATACGTTACACCAGTCTTAACAGCAATCCCTTAAAAGGATCGTGTTAGTCCTTTTTTAATATCTTTAGGATCAATCGTGTTTTCAACGCTTTCGGGAAATTCTGTGCGCTTTCCTACAAACCCGTTCCACTGCATTTTGTGGGAAAAGCTCACAAATTTCTTCCAAATGCTATAGTTCATTTTAATTGATCATTTCCTACATAAAACCTAAATGAGGAAACTTAAAAAAATCTTGTTAATGTCGTCTCCCATCTACATTCAATGTTTCTTTAAAATATAACTATTGTCTCTTGAAATGTATCATTTGAAATCGGTTTTGCTGTCGATTGCTCTATTAAGAATTTTCTTCTTCATTTGAGAGAAATATTTTTAACTTTAATTTCTCTATAAAATACGATAGAACGAGTCTGTACAAAGTTAAAATATTATTTACGTACAAAAAGATTAAGGACAGAAATAAAAATGACGAAACACAGCGAAGGAAACAATTATTGTATGTGATATACGTTGGCACAAGTGGTAGTAGATGACTACCATGTGTACCAACGTGTATTTTTCAACCTATTCGATGCTTTCTTAAGATAACTAATATACCCTGTGGTGCTCGGGTTATTAATTATAACAAAACACACTTAAAAATATTTAATTTTTTTCATTTTTTTTAAATTTATTTCAAAAATGTTTTTTAAATTACAAAATTTTAAAGACTCCAATTCAACATTGTTTCTTTGGCAACCATAACCAATTTTTCATTATTTGAATTTCCGTGACTTTACTGATATATAACTTAAATAAATCTATCACATTCATATACAGAAGAGTACAAGGAAGATAGCTATTCAATTTGAAATATATTATCTTTACGAAATAATAAATTTTAATTAATGAATAGAAAAAATTAATTCTCATTCTTCTAAGCCAGTGGTGTCCAAACTATAGCATATGGCAGGTTAATCTGGCTCACAAAACACACAGGACTACTTTTAGAATGTAAGGAATATACAAAACATTTGTGGTCCACTTACCTACAATTTGTAATTTAGTTTACCAAATCGAAAACTTTGGACATCACTGTTCTAAGTTATTAATCACTATATGTAAAACCATTATTCCATTATGGGGGGAACAGTTATCTCTAACCAAAAAACTCAACAGAAGAGCATTAAAAAAACAAATTTTGTTAAATCGCATATAATTATATAACATGAAAAGAGACTCATTCACATATCTCAAGAATTAGTTTTGGAAACAATAAAATTAACTTCAAATACTAAAACAGTACCTGCAAGTTTTATTCAAATTTCTGATCAAATTTAAATCTCAAGAAGACATTATAATAGGAATTATTTTATCAATATTTGAAAATTTCAAATGAGACAAAAATATCTTGACAAGTAGCTATACAAAATGGATACTTTGATAAATTTCTATTCAAAAAATTTAACAAGTTGAATCTTTTGTAATATATCTTAAATGTTTTACAATTTCAGAGAAATGGCTACATAAAAGAAAAGAATAATTTTATTAATTACTAAATAATTTATATTAAACTCAATGCATTTTGCTCCATAAAAAAACACTAATTTACTTTAATTATAAATTTTTATATTCAGATATTTTCATTTTCAAAGATTTATTTAAAACAAATGAGAAATTAGAAAACTTGGAGACCACTAATTAGAAATAAATGAAGTAGATTTCATTTTATTATTTTGAATTTGTATATATGTTATGTTTAAAATGAATAAAGATTAATTATGAAACAAATTCTAAGGCTTTGCTGTACTGTATAGATGCAATATATATGAAAAAAGAAATACACAATCTTATATATCAAAAACTTCTTAATTAACATTACATTTTGGCTTTGTAAAGGCATTTTCCTTCTCATTCTATTTGAAACCCGATTCTTTTTTTATTTCTGGATCAATTAAAGCAAGAAAAATAAAATCTGCATTTGTTTTTTTAGAAATTAAACATGTAACAATATTTTTAGTAAAAGAAGATTATTATTTATATAAAGTAATGTTAAAAATTTTATAAAAGAAAATTATAAAAAATAAATAAAATAATTCTTGTTGTCATCACCTAGGTAAGTAAATAGAAGTTTGAAATTTTAAGAACTTTTAATGCAGAATTCTAGTCTACTATTGAAATCTTCAACAATTTGAGTTTCTGTATTACAGAAATTATAAAAAAAATTTTCTACTTGTATATTAATACATTTAGAAATTAACATTTTTATATGCAACAGAATGAAAAATAAAAAGCAATCGCTAAATATATAAAAAAAATCAAATCAATAAAAGCAATAAAGCATTTTGCTTTACTAACTGAAATTTACTACACATTCACTTATATACATTTTAAGTTTTGTAGCATTAGTATTTTACAAAAAATATTTTGATTAGGTCTACAGTAATTTCATTTTCATTATTGTGATTGATGTTTTCTACATAATGAGTTTACAATAAATGGAATTATGAGTGAATAAATTTTTAAAAGATGACAGTTAAAAAAAACCCACACTAAATTTACATTTTGTGTGACAATTCACTTGAATTTCTATTAACTTACGATTACTCAAAATTTAAAATTCTGTAATACTAAAAAAATCTAATNATATATCTTAAATGTTTTACAATTTCAGAGAAATGGCTACATAAAAGAAAAGAATAATTTTATTAATTACTAAATAATTTATATTAAACTCAATGCATTTTGCTCCATAAAAAAACACTAATTTACTTTAATTATAAATTTTTATATTCAGATATTTTCATTTTCAAAGATTTATTTAAAACAAATGAGAAATTAGAAAACTTGGAGACCACTAATTAGAAATAAATGAAGTAGATTTCATTTTATTATTTTGAATTTGTATATATGTTATGTTTAAAATGAATAAAGATTAATTATGAAACAAATTCTAAGGCTTTGCTGTACTGTATAGATGCAATATATATGAAAAAAGAAATACACAATCTTATATATCAAAAACTTCTTAATTAACATTACATTTTGGCTTTGTAAAGGCATTTTCCTTCTCATTCTATTTGAAACCCGATTCTTTTTTTATTTCTGGATCAATTAAAGCAAGAAAAATAAAATCTGCATTTGTTTTTTTAGAAATTAAACATGTAACAATATTTTTAGTAAAAGAAGATTATTATTTATATAAAGTAATGTTAAAAATTTTATAAAAGAAAATTATAAAAAATAAATAAAATAATTCTTGTTGTCATCACCTAGGTAAGTAAATAGAAGTTTGAAATTTTAAGAACTTTTAATGCAGAATTCTAGTCTACTATTGAAATCTTCAACAATTTGAGTTTCTGTATTACAGAAATTATAAAAAAAATTTTCTACTTGTATATTAATACATTTAGAAATTAACATTTTTATATGCAACAGAATGAAAAATAAAAAGCAATCGCTAAATATATAAAAAAAATCAAATCAATAAAAGCAATAAAGCATTTTGCTTTACTAACTGAAATTTACTACACATTCACTTATATACATTTTAAGTTTTGTAGCATTAGTATTTTACAAAAAATATTTTGATTAGGTCTACAGTAATTTCATTTTCATTATTGTGATTGATGTTTTCTACATAATGAGTTTACAATAAATGGAATTATGAGTGAATAAATTTTTAAAAGATGACAGTTAAAAAAAACCCACACTAAATTTACATTTTGTGTGACAATTCACTTGAATTTCTATTAACTTACGATTACTCAAAATTTAAAATTCTGTAATACTAAAAAAATCTAATAAAAATAAATGGACATTTAACAGTATAAGATTCGTTTGTTTTTTTTTAATAAAAGCAAAAAGTTCATAATATCAAAATAAATATTTCAATAAAATAATTAGATATTGATGAACAAAATTATACTAAACTAATTTATTCTTTTACTAATATAAGTTTCAAATTTAATTAGAAGAATCATACAAAAAAAATATAGCATACAAAATAGGAATTCATAAATCCATTAAAGTTTTCATAAATATATTAAATATGTATATATGTATGTATATATATATATATATCCCATTTAATACATTTATTTACATAAAAATATCAGTATTTATCAGTGTAATATATTTATCTTCAAAAAGTTTGTAATACAGAATATGTATATGTATATATATACAATATATGAAATTAAAACTTATCAATTAAGGATTTGGAAGCGAAACATGAATAGCTGAAAATATTGATATGGATTATATTTGTAGTAAATTTTGTTAAAATTCATGATATGCTCAATCCCAAGAATGTATAACAGGAAGACAAATAGTACGGCGTTAATGATATAATAAGTCATTAAGGTTGATTTTTGAGAAAATTTTGTTGGAAAGTTTTTAGAAAATATATATATATATAAATATAAATATAAATATAAATATAAATATTCTAGTAATGATTTTTTGATTTGCATACTTAATTATCACAGAGAATGGAATGTTAACAGACATTCAAAACAACTAATTAGTAAAAAACAAAAATCAAAATATCAATGGGACTGGCTTCTATTTTTGTTAGTCTTTTCATAAATATCACAGTTCAAAATGGAAAAAGTCAGCTAACTGAAGAAACACTAACAAGTGGCGATTTTGTATAAGCTTCCACAGTCCTCCTGGTTAAAGGTCTGAAAAATTAAAATTTTAAATATTAAATGACAACATTTGGCAAAACAAAATAATATATTTTTCAAATTTTAAAATAATGTTTGCAAAGCAATTTCTTCAATAAGTTATTTAAAAATATTAAAATTTAAAAATGAGTTAAATCATTATAATAATAAATATTCAACAAATATAAATAATTTAATTGTAAAAATAAATTTATATCATTAAATATTTTTTAAAATTTTGAAGACTACATTGTTATAATCATTACTTTTTCAAAGCTGATAACAAAAAATAAAAATAGCAAAATATGTTTGAGAATTAGAAATTCTGAAAATACATTTTTCATTATTCATAAATTTTTGAATTTTAAAAATTATTTTTCTTCAACGTGTAGCAATACAAAATTATTTGGGCTTTCTACACTTAAGATTGCTTTAAAAATTAGTCTAATATATATATAAAATAGCAGCATTTAATCAAGATTATCAATTACTTTTAGAATGTTTCCCTTAAAATCATTTGAGAATTAAATCTGTTCTATATTATGTGGTTAGTCTACAGTATAAATTGCATTAAAATAGAAAAAATTAATATATGAATGTCAACAAAAGATTACACCATATGTATTAGATAATTGAAAGACTATTCTGTATAAATAGATGCTAAGAAACAATCCATAAATTTGATAAATTTTGTTTTTTAATTTGAAAAATTGAATGAAACAAATGAGGTGACATGCCCAAGTTTAATATAAAAATATTTTGTTTTTATAACAACAAATCATTTAGAAATTATACTAGAAGTGCTTTAATTTAATTGGGATATTATCTTATAATTAACTTTATATTTACCAGACTTTACTCTATCCAATCACATATTTAAGCCCTAGTGAACTGCAGAATTTGAAAAGCTACATATATGTTTCTACCAAAACAGAAATTCTACACAGAATAATTAATTAATGAGCTATTGAAAAAGATCATCAAGATAGTGTATATTGTTTGAATTGTGTTAAAAAGATATGTATTTGTAAAAAAACCGTTAACTGAAGTCAGTCATTACTATCTTACTTGGAAAATTCATGTTACTGATATGAAACAATTTCCTAAAAATTGTTTTAAACAATAAAATTACTATTTGTTGATTTTCAAGAAAATTTGCTTAATGTGATATAAAAGGCATTTTCAATTTACACATTCTACTATAACACATTGAACAGACCATATATTGTAAAAATAAAAATCAGACACATTCATTTCCTGTAAATAATTAGAGAAAACGAATGTGTGTCTGATTTTTATTTTTGCAATATATGGTCTGTTCAATAAAAATTATTAAATATTTTGAACATTTTTTTTTTTGAGTTTCAAAAAATTATTGGTATTTTTAAAAATAAAATTAAATGAACTGTTTTATGAACACATTTAACTTTCAAAGTATTTTAGTTTTTCTCATCCAAAAATATACAGTTTTATGGTTCTTATCTTAAAAGTTCAAGTAATATGTAATGTATAAATGTTAAAAATAAGTTTTGGAAACAATTCTTAGTGAAAAATAAACCCTATCATTTTTACTACATAATTGTATATAAAATTCTAGAAAATATCTCGTCCATTATTTTATTCTTAATTCACACACAAATTTGAACTATTATAAATTATGCATATAAAAAAAAACAAGATCATTAAAAATTTTTGGAATTATATACATACGGGGTTCTATTTGGCTCAACCCACTCTACTGTAGCTCCAACTGGCAATCCACTTGGAAAATTAGCTGCAAGCTGAAAAAAAATTTGAATTAAAAAATTAGACTGATAGATTCTTAATCTGTTCAGAGAATAAGGAATGGAAAATGAAAAAAGGAAAAATTTAACAAGTTTTACAACCTGGAATTATAGAAGGATAAGATAAAAAAATAATTTCTATATGACATAAAACAAAAACTAATAAAAAAAAAATTACAGAAATACAGAAAATATTTGTAATGAAAACAGTAGTGAAGTTTTAATTTTATAAATATTTTCAAAGATTAATTAAGTAAATAATATGCTTACAATTTATTATTAATTTTTATTTTTTGTTTAAAGAACATATTTTTAGATAATGTAAGATATTAAAATGTATTCCTACTTAAATACTTTTAACTATATACTTATTTTTAAATTTTGAATAAAACATATACAATTTAAAGTTGAATGTATTTAAATGTTACATTGCACAATATTTGTGCAGCATTATACCTGATATTTTACACATATGTTAATAATATGTGGGTAACATTAACAGATGAAATCAAGGTGACAAAATTTAGAGACAACACCAGATGCAAAATTTACACAGAAAATAAAATCCCCAAACAAATTAGTAATCTTAAATATTGAATATTTAGGATATCTTAACTCACAGAAAAAATAGACAATTAAAATTAAAAATTTCAATAGAATATTAATTAGTAAATCAAACTCAGATTCTTTATTATTCAGAAACACACAAGAATTAGGAATATACAAAAACATTAACTAGATCAATGTATACTGATAAACGTAAAACTTGGATCATTTTGAAAAAGAAAGAAAAAAAAAAAAAAAACAATTATTAATGGGGTGGTAAGCACATATTTGAGAACAGCTGGATACATCCATATGGACAGAAAAAATTTAGGTGATTCTTCAAAAACTTAAACAATAATCAAAAACAACAACAAACAACAAATTCAGTATATTCATTAATACAGAGGTAAGATGGAGGGGAAAAAACAGAATGGAGAAGAAATAAGTAATAAGATAAATTTTAAATTATAAACTGATAGAGAAGGTGAAAAAATCTAAAATGGAATGAGACCTTAACAGGTTACTTGGCCTAGTTCATGAATAAAAAGAGCAATATTGAAAAATAGTAAATTACCTGTTGATGTTGTAATATTGTATAACATTGTTCCAAACATAAAACAGTTGCATGGGCAGTAGCTTTTAATAAGAGTACATCCTATAAATAAAAAGAAAATTCTATTATTAGATAAATTACAATGTAAGTTTGTATATGTATTGTATAATAATACAGTATTACAATTTATTCTTTTATAGAAAATTTCTTTCAAAATATATATATATATATATATAGTGTCCCAGAAGGAAAAGGAGATCATACAGCAGCCAATGGTTTTCAAGATAAGCTATTTGAATGTACAATTGAAAATGTATTGATAAAGATATTAAGTATTCTTTCTAATAATCATTGTTCAACTATCAAATTTGTCATAATTTCATAATAAATTTTCAAAACTGTTACAGTAACATCAATGCACTTTACAACTTGTGTAAGAACAAAGTTTAAATAATCATCACAGTTCATCTACAATTTCCTTTATGCAGGCAACAACATTCATTATACAATTAAATAGTTCTTCTCATATAGCCACTTGTCTCCTGAACACTTCATCCAATCTTATAAACAGAAATATAATAAGATTAAGATCTCCAGATTGAATTAGATCTGGAGACCTTGATGGCCAAGGTCTCCAGTTCTACAACATTACAAGGTCAGACCATTGTAATGTTGCTTCACAAGGAGGGTAGAATGAAGACAGACTCCACAGTAACTTCACCAGTGAAAAGTATTAATGGAAGAAATTAATGATTAGTATTTAATACATTACAAAAGTCTAGATGCACAGCATTGCCCTATATGTGAAGATTTTGCACAAGCTGTAGGTAAAATGCATACAAGTCATCTTCATACAATGTCTGACCTGGAGATCTGTATATATGTTTTTAAAGAACACAAATATGCAGCAACTCTTCATATGCTAATAGTAGGGCAAAACTGCCCCATTTCAAAAATATTTTCCTGTTCCTCTACACTTCATTAATACGCTTGTTCCGATAAAATATGAGCACTGGGAAGTATATCATATTCATTGGAAAACATTATGATCTAAAATTATGTGCACAGAAAACAATCAATGATATTCTTCATCAGCAGCAGTGACATCACCATTGCAGAAATAGGAAATATACAGCTTATCTTCAAATTTGGCATTTGCAGAGATTGCAAATTTTTAGAAATGCAATTTGTCATTATCAACAGTCACAACAGCCAGCAGATTCTTAATGCTAAAACACTGACAATGTTTCTACAAGCTTATAAAATAAAATGTGCGCTTAAATATAGTATTTTATTTAAAATGACCAATATTATGACTTCTCTTAATATTGACCTTTCCTCCCAGAATATTATATGTAAATGTGATTCATAATACTGATAAAAATTCATTTAAAAATTCAATTTTAATCTCTTTCCATTTAACTTCTGGCTTTACAAAACATCTCAATGCATCTCTCATTTTTGGCTAAGTGTTTAAACCTGGTTTAAACACTTATATTATCATATAGAAAAGAAAAATAAGTACAATGGAACCTCACTATTCATCATTAATCTGTTCTTAAGGATCTAACAAATATGGAAAATGACAAATATAGAAACAATTTTTCTCATAATAACTGATATTAAATTAATCCATTCCCATCCTAAAAAAAGATACACGAATAAAAATTTTGTTGTTTGTAAAACTATCTTTATTGTACTAAATAAATACAGTATAGAAATCTAGCATTTTAAATGTATATTCTTAATATTATCGTGAAAAAAATGAAACAACACACAGTCAGATCAGGATCAAATTGAAATTGTCTCTTGTATTGTTTATTAATTACAGGAAGCAGAAAGAATGTCATTTGATATAAGATAAAAAGATAACTTACCAATCTAACATGTTTCTTCAAGTTACAAAGCTTGTATAATTTTTGTATAGTGGACTAAAGGACTGTTGTGACCTAACAAACACATACTCTAATCTTTGATTTGCATTTCAGGAAATCTTTCAAAAGATTTTAGTATAATAATCACTACATAAACATAACTTAATGGAAAGCATAATTATTTCTCTCAGCTGTAGTATGGCTATTAATCATACCATTTTCTAAAAAATAAAAAAAAACTTTTTTTTTACATTTCTTTGCTTAGTTTTGGAGTTTTGGAAGTACAGTAGAGCATTGATTATCCAACTCAATTAGGGACTGGGGTTGTTCGGATAACTGAAAAAACGGATAACCGAAAAGTATGAAAAAATACATTATTAGTATAGTATATTAGTATATCCCATGTAATTAGTATATTAGTATATTGCTATTAACTAACTTTGCGTTGAATTTACATCAAAGTTAAACCTAACAAATTTTTAAAAAATAATAATCATCACTATTGTATCGTTAAAAATTATTTTATTGCTCACAAAACAAACAACCACTCATAATTAGAAAATTAAGCCTCGTTTAAATACTGGCCTCCCTTTCATGGTCGAGCCAGTGTTGCCAGCTAAAACACGCAAAAATTTAACAAAAATAATATTAAAGCAGCCAAGACATAGCCAAATATTGTAGTGCCACATCACTAGAGGACAATTGAAATTTGCCGACTAGAACGGTCGGTTAACCGATGTGGCGGTTGATCGGGGGTTGGATAATCGATGCTCTACTGTATATTTGTTTCTTTAAAAATATAAAATATCAATTTTGGAAATTTCCTTGACTAGATGAAATATTTGAATATTAGTTTCACTAAAGAGTAAGTCAAATATACAATTTTATAACAGTTCTTTACTGAAATTTTAAATCTATAATGGATATAAATATAGAATAATAAGAAAGGATGGAAGGAGTATAATACTAAAAATAAATGGAAGGCGTTTCAATTATTATACCTTGAGTAGTAAATACAGTAAATGTTCAAGATTTAAGTGTTTCTCTGACTTATAGTAAGGTATTAACAATTAAGATGGGCTTATAGCATTACCAAGTCTACTTTTTTCTACAAGAAAACGTTTTATTTAATCATTCAATAGTTGGTCATTATAAATTGTCTTGAATTGGCAATAATTAACAGATATAATTAATATAATTTTATTCATTCATCTAAAACATGTAATGATCAACATGCAGTGACATGTCTCTTACTTTTGGAATTTCCCTTTATAAATATTAAGTTTCATAAAAAAACAAACTGAAAATTACTCACTGTGTCTAAAGACTTGGATGTTGGAAGATCCTGTAAATAATGATAAAAATTAATGATTTAAAAATAATGTTATTAAAACATGAAAAAAAAATACTATTTCAATATTTTCAGATTAATGTGGACTTCTGATATTTTAATTAAATTTGGAATTGAAAATTATGGAATAAACTACTAGAAAAATAATTTTCGTGGAGGAAATGTTTGTTGAGATGTCCATTGAGAATGACTTGTTAAATCACTGCCAAAATTCAGTGCATAAAGATAAATGCATTTAACATGTTGCAATTGAAAGGGCAACTGTGTAAGTTTTCCCTAGAATTAATTGAGGCAAGTGGAGTAATTAGTTCTGATGCTCCATGGACTTCACAATCTTAGCATTGTGCCTCTAGACATCTAGAGAAAAGTAAAAGACATGGTTATGCTGGCACCAAAATCAATGACCTCAATGAACTTCTTGTATGAATACAGGATGTTTTTGCTTCTGTTACACTGCAGACATTGTAGTACACATGGCAAGAAATTGAATATCATTTAGATATTCTCCATGCAACAGAAGAAGCATACATTGAAAATTTGTATGAAAAGAATAAAGATAGAGCTATACTAATTTTTGCAATAAAACTTGAGTTTACCTTCAAATTGCATGTATACATTGTTTTTATCAGAGATAGAATTAAATATCCATGAACTTTTCCACATTTGCTACAGGAAAAATGTCTTTGATTTAATTCTATAAATTATAAATTTTATGAAGTGAACTTACATATTAAATTAATACTAGTAAATTTTATCCAGTTATACTCATAATTCAAAAATTAATAGTAGAGTCAAAAATAAACTAAGCTTTAAATGTACTATTAGCCTAACAAAAGTATTTACAGAAAGTCACCTTCAAAATAAGTTTTATCAGTTTACTTCTGCCTGCATTCATATCACTTGCCAAAGAAGTCCTGAAAGCCATTTTGGTGATCTCTTTGAAGACTTTCATTGTCGCAGCTTTCCACTTTCATCTTCCATTAATGGTTAATATCTGGCCAAGAAGGACTTAACAATGCTTGCTCAAGATCACCTCCTCCAATCTTCCTCCAAAAACTTCTCTTTCATTTTAGGGAACAGAAGTTGAAAGTTGTAGATTTCAATCAAAAATGGAAACTGCAGTAATAAGAATGATGTCATGTAAGAGTTTCTGGTGTGTTGTGTAATAAAACATGTGCCAGAAGTTCAGTTTATTTTTGACTCTACTATGTATATAAAGAAAATTCAACTTAACTTACATCCATAACTTTACTTAAAGCTTTATAATGTTTTTCTGCTTTTTGCAAAATGTCTTTAACAGAACTCAAAGCATCAGTTACAGATGCTATGCTGTTGACAACAGGACTAATTGGACTTGTAATGATATTAGGTGATGTTTGGTAAACATTATGAGGAGGTTTATTATCCACTTTATTATTTCCAGATACATCACTAATTACTCTATCTCTATTGGCAAGTGGTGGATTTCGCTACAAAAAACTTTACACAATTTATTGTTTGTTTATAGGAATTAATCAGAATAATCATAATAATTTTAACATTCTACCTCAGCAATATTTTGTGTATGATATTCAGCAACAGCTCTTAATCGATTTACCCAGAATTGTCGTTCTTTGGCATCAGAAGCTATGATACAAGCAGATTTATTTTTATTATTTTAATAATTTACTATTTTAATAATTTAATAAGGCAATAATTTAGCATATTAATTTTTGTACTAAAATTAAAATTTACCTCGTAATTTGTACACTTCACCACAAGCAGCACTCAAAATAAATAATTCACTATCTTCATCGCTTGGTGAAATAACTGCTCCCTAAATTTCATTATATTAAAATTTTTTAAATAAATGGAAAACTGATATATACCAGGGGTGGCCAACCTGCAGCTCGCGAGCCACATGCGGCTCTTTGAAGGATTATTTGTGGCTCTCGATAAATGTACCAGAGTTCCCTTTTCATTTTTGTGTTATTATATTTTTAAAAATTATTATCGTTCCGTATGTGTTTCAAAATGTGTTTTAAATTACTAACAACAAATATAAAAGACTAAGTTCAACGTTGTAACAAATTTCATTTCCGTCCAAGTTAAGAATGATATGACTCATCGAAAACTGTGTGAATGAACATAAACAGTGGCGTAATCGTCCGTTATCGACCGACTCCAGACCGATTTTAAATTTGTAAACTGTCATTGCAATGGACAGTTGACATTGTGCTCTGGAGGAAACAATTTGTATCACTCTTGCTATGGATATAATTTGTAATCTGGAATTTTTTGATACCTTTTTAATATGTATTTAATTGCGACTCGCGAAAAATTTCAAATTTTGAAAAATGGCTCGGACTATCAAGGAGCTTGGCCACCCTGGTTATATACAAACATCTTACTCTATACAGTAGTGTCTCAAAAACTCGGCACTTGATAACCCGGCAGTCCAGATAACTTGGCCACACTCTGGCAGGGCAAAAAAACCCCTAGTTAACTTTTATTATAGACAGCTTTATGCCTCAAAGTATTTTCTGAGATCTGTCTTATCAGGTAAATTACTGTACACTGTGTATTCATTAATTTTCATTTAGTAAAGGCTCTGTGCCTTCATAAAGTATATACTTTTCCTTTGTTTAAAGGTGTTTGGGCAGTTTATTCTCTGTTGTATTCTCAAGCAAACAATACATACAAGTACAATACAGTATTTTCTGAGGAAACACTCTTACTTATTCTTTTTTAACCCCATTCCCGATAACCCAGCATTTTCACAAACTCTGCCACCCTTCGGTCCACATTAGGCCAAGTTTTCGGGACACTACTGTATTTATGAAAAAATATTGCTCAAAACGTTGAGCAGTAATGAAATACAGTCGACCCTCCTATAACACTGTTGATAATTACGTTTTATATGAATTCCATGTTGTACGAGTCACTTAGATTTTACAAATACATAAGCCATTCACAGCCCGGCACACGTATTTGTAAAAACTAAGCAACTCGTACAACATGGAATTCATATAAAACAGAATTATCAACAGTGTTATAGGGGAGTCGACTGTATTTGATTCTTCAAAAAAGTCATTCAATATTGATTTAAAAAACCAGCAATTTTATTAGAACTTTTGATAGTTGAACAAATGTTGGAAAAACACTTTACTTATTAAACAATTATTAGTTATAAATTACCATAATGAAATTAATATAAAATTATCAAACAATAACCATTAATGTCTAAATTTATACATCTACGAGTAAACATAATACAGTGAGTGATCATTTAACAAATATAATCCGTTCCAAGACTTTGTTCGTTATCTGATTATCAATTTATCACAGGTTTTTATGGAAATTTGATTAATTCATTCCGAGACTCCAAAAAATAAAAAAATAAAATATACTTTTTTTACCACATTTATTTATGTGTAATAGTAAAAATACATATATACACAGGCTTGCATTTTTATTAGTCATGTTTTTTCCATTTGTGGGAGTTAAAGAATCTGTCTAATGTCGACTGCTTTTCTCTTTTCTTCAACATTTTTCGGAAGTAATTAATAGTATTGTAATTGTACAGATCTCCAATCCCATTAACCTTAGTCCGGTTTGGATGCCACTTGGATGATCATTGTTCTGACATCCTCCCATTTCTTCAAAAGATCTTTAGTAGCAGATATCAATATTGGTCCTCTTTTGTCATCCTCTTTTTCAAAAGAATACCGAGAAACTTGGCAAGATGTGTTTTCTTCATTTATGAGTTCTTGGAGTTCTGTCGTCAGATCACTTTCAGCTTCCATTATGAGCTCTAAAATGCTCTTTATTTCTCAGATGTGACTTTTATTACTCTGTTAGCAACTTGAGACTTCTTGATATATCTTTCATAGCTACAATTGTGCCCACTGTAGACCTGTTCAAGCCATACTGCCTAGCAACATCAGACATCTTTGTGCCCACTTTCTACCATTGGCTATTATCTCTTACTTGGTTTCTATGATAAGCACAGTTCTTGACACTCTTCTTTTTAGGCTCCATAATATCAGTTTCTTTTTTAAATAAAAAGTTCAGAAAAGCACTTACAAAAATTCAGAGAACAGAAATCAACTAGTTCATAAAAAATTATTTAAATGCGAGGTCCGGATGAAATTCGAAATTTGGTATTAAAAAGTTAACGAATATCCGACGGGACAGTTAAATTTTCACCTTTCGTAAATAAACCCCAACGCAAAACTTAACAAGTGTCCATCCGACAGTCTCGCGAAGACTATAAAAAATTATTTGTCAGAAAGGTAAACAAAAAGCTGGAATTACAAGGGAGAGTTACAAAATTCAAAGGAATATTAATACTATCCAATCGGTATCGGGTTGAGTGTCGATGTTGACGTCTCTTGCGCTCCAAAAGGTTTCAAATTGTTACCTGAAGACAAGGGAAAATCAATTGGTATTCGTTATTTTCCATCACTTCTTTTTATATTTGTTCAGTAAAGTGTTCGTTGTCCGATCATAAAAATCTTCCGCAAAAGTGTTCGCTATCCGAACTGTTCGTTAACCAATCACCCACTGTACATATTTTATTTATAATGCATTATGTAACTACAATTATACTTACAGCTAAATGAACTGTTCCTCTTGGCCTTTTAGTTTTTTCTTCTGGCTACAAATAATTTTAGTAAATAGTAAAATTTAAAATAGTAAATATTTATGTTACTTTCAATATTTTTATAATATTTTTTATCATCACAAAAAACAAAATTAAAATATTTAATTGGTTACAATTTTATTTAAATTATTATAAATCTGTTTTTAAATAGATTGTCAAAGTATAACCTCATTCCTGAAAATCTGTTGTAAATAGAAATAAGGTTATCTATTATTTCTTACATTGAAATTTGTTTCCTCAGACATAATTCAAATATCCCTCTATCTGTATTCCTCAAACAACATTAAAGTGTTAAAAAAAACAACACTGATTCACCTGTTAACTAATGATTCTAAAAGAAAGAAAATAAATGAAAATGTTTATTAGGTTATTCACCCATATAAAAAGGAATTAATATAAAGTGAGAGAAACAAATATGACAAGCAAAGATTTAAGTTACCAGACAAGCTTTCATTTAAAATGGCAATAAAATGAAAATTAAAACAAAAAACAAAATAAAACTGATTTTTTAATTATTGTAAATCACAAAAATATGCAATACAGAAGTTTACTGAACTGAACAACTCTCAAAACCAATAGCATCATTACATCTAATTAATAAATACACAGTGCAAATGAAATAAAACAGATTAGAACCTAAGAATCACCTAATCAGAGCATGTGGAAATTTTGGTCTCATCAAATTTAAAATCAAAATATTCTAATAATTCTAATTGTAAGTATTGGTCAGTGCTCATTAAATTGAATACTTCATTTTGTAAATAATTAGTTGGTTTTATTTGATGGGAAATAACAATGCAACATACAAGCAATATGGAAATACCTTTTAGGACTTTCTACAGGAAAATGATGCCTATTTACATGTTATACATGTGAAGAAAACTAGAAAAACTCATTAGAGAAGCATAAAATTGTAGGTTTTGTCCACTCAGCCACTGATCTTGTTAATTGGATGAGGGATAAAAAATAAAGCAGTTCACATCAAGTTTTCATATATCAAGTACTGATATAGTAATACAGTACTGATATTATTCCTCTTGAATTTATATATAAATTGAATTAATTGTATTCTTTTTAGCAAACTTTTTAAATATAAATTTGGATAATCCGAAGTTTGTATATCTCATGTTTCAAAAATTCCCATAATATGGATGAAACTGTCATATGTTTCATTGTTTTATATTAAACTTTAATTTTTAACCCTTGTGTGAGAAACGTGTTACAGTACAAATGCACTAATTGCATTTTCTAAATGAAAAATATTTTTTATTTTGAAAGTTATCTCAATGAGCCTCTGAATCTTCTTTCAAATATCCAAAAAGAATATATTTTAGAAACAATAAATTTTAAAAAATAATTAGAAGTAATTATATATTTTAATTTATGTTTTATTAGAATAAGTGAGTGACATGGTACATTTGTACTTTAGTGTTGTAGGTATAACTGGTTTCCAATTGTAGGTCTGTTATAAATTATTAATGCTCAAAATCAGAACTTTTGTCAAGTGAAATTCAGAACATCTTAGGTATTACAGTTGTAGAAACATTTATTGCAACAAAAATAGATTACACAATGCAAGAGCAACATTTGACAACAGAGTTTGAATATTTGGAACTTATAGTTTGGTTGCAGAAAACTACATGCTTTTCATGTTTTTGGTAGGTTTTGGACAATCATTGAACATGATAAGTGCATGTGAATTTAAAACATTTGTTTTAGTTACCTCTTATTGGAGCAAACATCAGATTTTCCTAGCATACATTCTATACAGAATCTAGTAACAGTGTTCTCACAAGCAACAATTTATTTACTGTTCTTCAATGGATGGCATTACCAGTTTCTTGCTTTGGTATTTGAGGAAGATACACTGGCTATCTGTGTGTTTTGTATATTCCAGATTGTTCTCTGACTAAGTAATGTACACTATAAGGATAGCTGCTATATTTGTCACATTATAAAAATATATAGTCCATGGTTACCTTCTAATCTGCTATTTTGTTGTTTGACCATTTTATCCCTTTACTTTATTATAGTGAACTATTATTTTCAGTTTGTTTTTAACCACTTTCACTTTGTAATGCATTGCTGACATGATAACATTTTATTTTGTGAGAACATAGAAATAAATATTCACCTTGTCTTTGCTAAATCCAAATAGAGATGACTAAGTGTTTGTTAAAAATCACATTGTCTCATGCGATTTTTAGCAAACATTTCTAGAGAAATGTAAACTTTATTTTTCTTTAGAGTAACCATAACAGTAAATTTCCAATCAAAAATTTAGGTAGTGGTCATGAAACCATTATTAGTGATGTTTCTTCAAGTTTTTATATTTGTAAACTCTTGTTGTTTGTAAGTCATTCTACATATAAAATTGAACTATACACAGATAACACACAAATTCAAAAATAAAAACACTTTACTTCTTAAATTCATACTTTTTTTATATTTTTTGTAAAAAACACTGCAACTACCTTATAACTATGTTATAAAACTTACAACAATCATAATATTAAATACCCAATTTTACAATAAATAAACATGCATGTGTCCGCACTTGTAAACAATATAATTTGTTGTTCATGAGGGCAGACATTTGCTTATTTATTTATTGTATTTATTTTTATATTGTAAAAATGCATCCTTGAGCAGTGTTGACAGCTCTTAAGAGAAAATGTTTTTAATAATTTTTGAAGTGGATAAAAAAGCATTATTAGCTTATAACACAATTTTCCATAAAAAAGCATTGTGGGACAATTTTACCAGGTTGCTCAGTGATGTAAAATTTACTACTTGCTCACATAAGGGTTAAGCTGTTTTAAATCTGTAAAGAATCTATTGATAAAACCAAGAAAAATTTCAATGACGACATTTGATAACAATGCAGTATTTAAATCAATAAATTATTTTAAAAATAAAAATTAAGATAATTTACTAGTTAAAAATATAGTAATTTTTCATTAGAATATCTACTTTCATAATATATAATCATTTTTGTTTGAATACTTTTGTAATTATGCAGAAATGCTTAAATTTAATATATTCAGTTATGATTCTACATAAATACAAAATATGTAACTTTTCAGTTATAAATGCTACATATATATTCAGAAATATTGTTCTTATTTAATGAAAATTTGCATTAAATGAAATTGTGTTGTATAGTAGAGGGTTTAATAATAATTTTTGCTTTTAGGTATCAGCACATATGTATAAAATTGAATTCATGTCTGTCCACACAAAACTTATTCAGTATAAGTACTTATATTCAGTGTAAGTATAAAGTTATAAAATATTACTGTTTAAAATAATCAGTATCCTTCCATATTTTCCATTTCCAAAAACTTCAATTTTATAAGCTTTTATAGAATTATGATATCATTTGCAAGAGTAAATAGTTCAAACCTGGTTCTTATCAGAGCTTTTACATAAATAGGAAGTTTTGCCTAGAGGCCAGTGGGTCTAAAATAAACCATGAAATTCAAATACAAGTTAATGTAGTCATTAACAGATGAAAGTGGACATCAGTGAAAGCTTGGCAGCCTGTTATAATGTATGCAATATTAAACTTATTGTCATTTTCACCTGTGCCAGAGTGTCAGTGAGTCCCTAGAATTTCTATCAATGTAAAATTGTTTTTGGGTCAGATCTATTGTAAGATTATCACGTACATATTCTTTTTCCGAGTACATTTTTATATGAGTATATTAAGTAAAGATTATATATAATTTTTCCAAGTGAAGCCTGGTAACCCAACTATTATTATTATAATTGGAAAAGCCTTAAAGTGAGGAGAGGAAACTTTTTCAGAATTTAGACAAAATATTTTAGAAGTTGTAGGAATATTTATGCCTAACCACTTTTTTGAAATTTTATGGTAATAGTATTGTTAGTTAATTAGTTAAAATAACAATGATATTACTATAAATGTGATTAGTTTACATTTAAATTAAATATCCGCTTAAACATTATGAGTATAAGAAAAAACTTACATACTGTTTGAAACCTATAATTTACAAATTTATTAATTAAATGCATACCTATTTCTATGATTTATAATTATAATATATACTTACCATGTAATATTCTAAATATCCTGTTTCTGGATTCAATACGAACCATCTAAATTGCCATCCTTTCACTACGTTTGTATATTTGAATAATAAACCTTCTAATGGATTCCTGAAAAGTAATCAAACAATACAAATGTAGATTAAACTTATTAATCATTATTTTAAAAATTATATCAATTTGACAGCACTTATTTCTTTAAGAAAAATTAGCAAGACATTATATTCATATTATCTTCGTAGTAGAATACAATTAGAATACAATATTTGAAAAATACAAAATCTAAAATTTGAAAAATCTGTTTTAATATTTTATATGGCATTTTAAAATTTTAAATGTGACAAGGTAACTTCTGTTTTGCATTATGTTAATTAAAGCCTTAATGTGTTGCAACTATACATACACATGATAATAGTAAATGATCTATATTTTTAACTGTTTTAAGAATTTAAATTATCTGATATATGCATTTATTGTAGAACATAATAAATTCTGTATGTAAATAATTCATATAAATGGCAATTATATAAAAATTAAAGTTTTAAATTATTATTAGAATTTTAGACATTTCATTTTTCCTTTTCTTATGCTTACTATTATGTACTAGAAATTCTTCAGCCAAGTATAAGAAAGTAGAGTCTAAAGAATTAATAGTAGTACAGATTTTAATAACTAATATTTCTACAAATTCAACAGTTTATACTGTTCATCGGAACATAACTGAAACATGATAATATATTTTAAACAACAGGCTCATTAGATCATTACTTCAGATTGAATAATAGGATGCCACATGATCACTATGAAAAGACTTTTTAAAAAATTGGTTATAGAAGTGACATGGCATGGCTATTTTTTTTTTTTAAAGTTTAAATTTAATGAAGTTTAAAGTATGCCATTTGTCAAAATATTTTAAAATGTAACTTAAGAGAAATTCCATAGTCAAGCTTGAACTAAATGAGGTCACCGATGTCACTGCAACACAAGTGCAATCACCAATCCAAAATCAATAAAATTGTTTATTTTATAGTTAATATTTTGGCAAAATAAATAGCCTATACTTTGTCAGAACATAAAATGAATATAACCAAAATTTCATCTGGATTGGACAAAAATTGCAGGAGTTATAAGGAATTCACACACACACAGACAATAGTTTTTATATTATTAACACTGTTGTTAATTATTTATATTTTTGAGGAATAGTAAAACTTCTAAAAGCTGAAATTGCATGAGGCTATGAACTTTCTGGTTAGGCAGGTTTTCCATCTGATGCAAGAAAGTGCTGCCTGCCTCAAAATATAAAAGGTACTTTATTACTTTCCTCAGTGTTATCTATAACAAAGGGAAAGTATGGCAATTGGTTAAAAAATGACCACAAAGATTTTTTCATTTTTGGACTCTGGATCTTGGAATGCCAAGAAATGCAAAAAAATTTAGTTTTTTCTGTATGTATGGATGATAGTGTGTGGGGGTACAATTTTGTTCTCCATCTTTGAAGAAGCTTAATAATTCCTGTGCTTTTAGTCAAAATTTTCTGAAATTTTGCAGGTAGGTTTGTGTATTAGGAGGATCAATGTTATTCAATTTTTATGGTTAATTAATTAAAGATCAAGGTGGTAGGGAGATAAAGGGGTCGTGTCAGATCAGACCTTACTTGAGATATGGCACGACCCTCATTTCTACCCTCAAAATTAAGTTTTTTGCCATTTTATAATAATTAAAAAAATAAAAAGTTTTTAATAATAAAATGTCATAACAGATGGCACCACCAAATGTTGCCAGGAAAGTTAAGCAACTTGTTGCTGGATTTNTATGAGATTCTCAAACTAGATAAATGAATTTTAATTATTATAACAGTGATAATTGAGAATAATATTTATAGAAGGCTTTCAAGAACCATGGCAAACACTTATGCATTCTAGAGAACAGTATTGTCTTAGATACGAATCAACCTACTTCCTGGAGTTAGGCCGTGCAATGGATTATCTTTTTAGTTTTGCTGTTTCCATGGCTGCACAAGAAGCTTTAAAGTATACAATACTTTCAGGTAAGTATTAAATTGGCTGATAAAAGAGAATTAAAGCTTTTGAAGCACAAGTATAGTTAAATTCAGTGGATATATGAGGGTCTGCTGAAATGTTTTGCTACCTTTGTCATATTTTTATTTTAAAGTAGTGAGAATTGGATAAAACCAGTTCTATTCCCCAGTTATCTCTAATTTGATCCCTTAAATGTTCCCAACTTCAAAATAGAAGTCTGTATACATTATAGTATTCCTGTGCTTTTCATTGAAAATTTCTGAAATTTTGCAGAGAAGTTTGTTTATTAGGGAGATTGACACTATTAAATTATGATAGTTAAAGGTCAATGAAGTGGGGAAGTAAATGGAGATCATGTGTCATATCTTGAATAGGTTGGACTTAATGATGATTTTACTCATAATTAGCATTTACAATTTTTTATAAAACCCATCCTTACAGTCAAAGTCAAGCTTTTTGCTATTTTATAGTAATTAAAAATATAAAGAGTTTTTAATAATAAAATGTCATAACAGATGGCACCACCAAATGTTGCCAGGAAAGTTAAGCAACTTGTTGCTGGATTTTTTCTGTAGTATTTGCTGTATTCTTTGAAATGATCCAAAAATCAAAAGAAAAATGTGCAGAATTCAGTTGTGAATATATATACAATGTATATATTCACAACTGAAAGAAGAATGCATGCTTGATATGTACTCTTTTACATGAAGCTTTGTACTGTATTTACTCACTGAAATGGTACTTTTTAAATGTCATCTTGAAAGATTTACTTGTCTGAATTTCAAATTTTAAAAGCTCAAATTTGATACTCTGGAGCTTTCATTACGCTAGTCTTAATCATAATTATTAATGAAGTATTCAATATTTTCGGTAAAATTTTTTTAAATATGTAATTGTACAGTGGTACCTCAGGTTACGAACGCCCCAGCATACGAAATTTTCAGGATACGACATGAAATTCGAACATATTTTTGCTCCATGATACGAACAAAAACTCACCATACGACGTTACATTAGTTCGCATTTTTCATTTGTTTTTCTTACTACAGTTATTTTTTTGAATGTATTACTTGGCTTTAATTTGAGTATGTTTTTCGCGTTGGAACGAATTATTTGGTTTTAAATGTAATCGTATGGGAAAAGATGATCCACCTTACGACATTTTCATGATACGATATCAGTTTCGGAACGGATTAATTTCGTATCCTGAGGTACCACTGTATTAGGAAAGCAAAAAAGAAAGAAACCAAAGTGGACTTAAATCAGAAACACAAATGAATAAATGTGGACAGAAACAGAAAATAATATTTCTATCAAAGTGTGGCAAATAGGAGAAACAAAATATTTCATGTTGTTGTTCACTCTAGTTAAAAGTACCATCTCAATTAAAAAAAATAGCATATACTTTTCACTGGCACCTATAAGAACAAAAAGATGTTTAAACCTAAATTTGAAGCAAAGATGTAATGCTCAAACTCTAGATTATTTATTAAAAATGATTACTTTCTAAAGTATTTTGCTTTGTTCAATATTAGGTTCTTATTGATCAAATTAACTTAGTTCATATGTTGTCAGGCCTTAATCACAAAATTTATATTATGTTTTTAAATAATTAACAGACTCATTAGAGTTAATGTTAATTATATTATTTAACTGTGCTATTTCCTAAAATCTATTAACTTATAGGCAAAATAAATATTAATAGAATTAATCTTATTCCTAATATTTTTGTATCAGGCTTTTCAATTCAATATTTGCTTAAGTTTGTCTTTCACAGGTTCCATGTAATATGAATTAACAACAGAGATATAACAAGCTTTCTGTATTCTGTATCTTACAACATAGCTAGTCACAAGAACCTTAAGACATGAGAAGAAAGCTACTTTGAGAAAATTTGAAGATAGAAAATTGCATTTATTTTGGCTCTATCTTAGGGAAGTCCTGCCTCTTATAGGTTTATCTGTAGTAATATGTAAATCTAATTACAATGGAATTTTTTCTCCCTCCTAAATTATTACACAAAATTAAAAATTTTAAATTATTTACCTCATTTTATTCTCTTCCTGAACATCAAACTCCTACAAAATTTTACAATAATTAAAAAATTATTATAAATTTCTGATATAAACTAATAGTTCATTTATTTGTTTTTCATAAAACAAAATATTAAAAAGTTATTAATTAGATAATGATTTAAATTTATCAAATATCTTAAAAACTATACAAAAAAAAAAAATTATTAGAAATTTAAAATTTCTGTCTCCTTATAAAGCATTTATTTATTTTAAAAATCAAAATAAATATTTGAACTTGAAATAGTATATAAAAAATATCAAAAAGTTCCAAATATTTTATTATACATTATTCAACATGAAATCTAATAATGTAATATTCTGTTTTCAATCCAAATCTCTGCAAAAAAATTATATTGGTAGTATGACATTATCTGATAAAATTATTAAACTGGTTCCATTCATTTGGTATCTGTTGATTGCCAAATAATTATCTTTTGCCAAAGTATTTGCCAAAGTGTTTGTCATGTTGCAAGTATATATGTACTGTACATACTTGATTGCTAAGCATCAGTTTTTTGTGGGAGTTATGGATGTTTGTTCAAGACTCATTCCCTTTGATTTGGCACAATACTGTATGCCAATAAGGAATGGTAAATAGTAAGTACTGAACATTTGTTGAGTGAAGTCATCCACACTACTTGGTATTGGCTAAATGTTTGCTCAGTATTTGGCAAATACCTAATGGGTGGAGCCAGCTGTAAGTTTTTGTGAAAGACGCAATAATAATTATAAAAAACATTTTTCATTATTAAATAAGATATATAATAATAATAATAAAAATTTGGAGAGACTGAAGGTTTTATGGTTTCCATTCAAGATCAGGTTATAAACACTAAAAACTACAGAAAACAGATTGAAGGATACATCACTCACAAATGACTCTTGCATAAAATGCCACATTCTGCCAGAAACAATACAACATATAACCTCTGGTTGCAGGCTCTTAGCATAAACAGACTATTTTCATTGGCATAATCAAGTAGCAAATACAATACATCAAGAGCTTGCTCATAACACAGCTTATTAAACATCCAGATACCATACTACAGATATACTATATATGCAGTTTTAGAAAATGACAGCCATAATCACAGATAAAACAATTCATCACAGTAGACCTGACATTACTCTCATTGACAAATGCAGTAAGATCACTTATATCAGTGCTTCTCAAACTTTTTTGGTTCATAGTCCTCTTGCAATTGCTAGTAGTAACAGTCCCAGGTGAATCTTAAAAAGCTCCAAAGTGCAGCTTAAATTGGGCGACTAAGATGCAGATCGCCCACTTTAAGAAGCATTGACTCATATAATAGACATCTGTGTTCCAAACACTAATAACATGAAAAATGCTCACACTGAAAAAAATCAAAAAGTACACTCCACTTACTCAAAAATTAAGTCAGATGTGCAGGATGGATAAGATATTTATTATACCTGTTATCCTCTCTTCTACTGATGTTATATCACACACATTACACAAAATTCTAGAAACATTAAACCTTAACATGACACTAAAGAAAGCTGCAATACTGAACACATCATATTGTTAGGAAGTTTCCAGATGTTGATACACATACTAATAACACAGCTTAATGTTACACTTGTTTGGGTAGCTATGCTTTGACTTTAGTCTGGTGCTAGTGGTATAATAGCATTTGGTACTAGTATCAGTTGAGCATGACATTTGCAACATAATAATAATAATTTATTGTGACATTAAAAATTATAGCCCAGCACTGTGACAATCATATATTTTTAATTTATTTCATTTAAAATATAGCTGTCCAACTCAAATTAGTAGTGTTTTGCCCCTCTACACAATACTTTTCCTGTTAGCAACAAAATCATGCTGTCAATTATCTAACTCCTTATAGGGGAAATTTTTGAATTGATGTAATGTGATTTCCAGTTTGCTTCAGAAGTTCATATATTTAATCAGGGCCTCCTTTCCCCAATCATTCCATATCTGTTCTCAGCTTTCATCTAACTAGCTCCGTTCTCAAGATTAAGGAAAGACAGACAGACAACAGTGGAAATTTATAGGTCTACAATTTTTTAAAATTGCAGCCCAATAAAAACAAAAATTTTGTCAGTATCAATCAGTTAATGATCAAATAATTGAACTAGAATAAACAAATATGTAATAAAAAAAATATATTAAATCATAAAATATTAGCAGATATGCCAAGAAAAAAGTAAAAAGTTGTTAAATCTAGAACATTTTATTCTAGAAGGTAATTTTTATTTTTAGGAAATTGTATGGTAACACTCAAGTATCTTGTCAATTATTCCAATTTAAAATCATCAATCAGAACACATACAATTCGATAATTGTATGTAGAAAATTACAAAGTTACATTTTTTGTTATATACTTTCTAAGAAGAGAAAGAACTCTTCTTACAATGATTCATAGTTACATTTAAGATTAAATCTAAACATAGAATAAAAAGTAATCAATGAATAACTTTTTAAAACTTTATCATGCTTTTTTGATAAACATGTTATATTCAAGAAGCATTTAAGATGTGTAAGTATATGCATGTGTCCTGTTAATTATAATATAATTAAATAAAATTATACCAATATATAATTTTAGCATTATTGGAAAAGTTAGTTATGTAATTTTTAAAATAACTCTTTCTTTTTGATGTCTTCTTTTTGATAATCAATCAAAAATGACTTAAACTTATCGATTTTTGAGAACCAATGTTCTCAAAATATATCCTATGAATAAAATATGATATACTTTCAAATATTATTGCACCATGTTAAAATTGAATACATTTTTTATATCTAACATTAAAATTTAATAAATAATATGACAAAATACACACACACTATGTGTGTGTATTATGACAGATCAAAACAACAAATGAGATATTTGGAAATATCTATCAATCAATTTTTCGAAACTTGAAATCTTGAAAACTAAATACAGTAGGGCGTCATTTATCTGAATCAATTGGGGACTGGGGTTGTTTGGGGAATAATTTATTTTTCGGATAACTGATTATGTACAAACAAATATATTAACCTATCCCATGTTGAAATTTTTCTCCATTGTGTGTTGCTTCGAATTGAATTTTCGTTGATGTTAAGCCTAATATAAATTTTTTNTCAGCACATATGTATAAAATTGAATTCATGTCTGTCCACACAAAACTTATTCAGTATAAGTACTTATATTCAGTGTAAGTATAAAGTTATAAAATATTACTGTTTAAAATAATCAGTATCCTTCCATATTTTCCATTTCCAAAAACTTCAATTTTATAAGCTTTTATAGAATTATGATATCATTTGCAAGAGTAAATAGTTCAAACCTGGTTCTTATCAGAGCTTTTACATAAATAGGAAGTTTTGCCTAGAGGCCAGTGGGTCTAAAATAAACCATGAAATTCAAATACAAGTTAATGTAGTCATTAACAGATGAAAGTGGACATCAGTGAAAGCTTGGCAGCCTGTTATAATGTATGCAATATTAAACTTATTGTCATTTTCACCTGTGCCAGAGTGTCAGTGAGTCCCTAGAATTTCTATCAATGTAAAATTGTTTTTGGGTCAGATCTATTGTAAGATTATCACGTACATATTCTTTTTCCGAGTACATTTTTATATGAGTATATTAAGTAAAGATTATATATAATTTTTCCAAGTGAAGCCTGGTAACCCAACTATTATTATTATAATTGGAAAAGCCTTAAAGTGAGGAGAGGAAACTTTTTCAGAATTTAGACAAAATATTTTAGAAGTTGTAGGAATATTTATGCCTAACCACTTTTTTGAAATTTTATGGTAATAGTATTGTTAGTTAATTAGTTAAAATAACAATGATATTACTATAAATGTGATTAGTTTACATTTAAATTAAATATCCGCTTAAACATTATGAGTATAAGAAAAAACTTACATACTGTTTGAAACCTATAATTTACAAATTTATTAATTAAATGCATACCTATTTCTATGATTTATAATTATAATATATACTTACCATGTAATATTCTAAATATCCTGTTTCTGGATTCAATACGAACCATCTAAATTGCCATCCTTTCACTACGTTTGTATATTTGAATAATAAACCTTCTAATGGATTCCTGAAAAGTAATCAAACAATACAAATGTAGATTAAACTTATTAATCATTATTTTAAAAATTATATCAATTTGACAGCACTTATTTCTTTAAGAAAAATTAGCAAGACATTATATTCATATTATCTTCGTAGTAGAATACAATTAGAATACAATATTTGAAAAATACAAAATCTAAAATTTGAAAAATCTGTTTTAATATTTTATATGGCATTTTAAAATTTTAAATGTGACAAGGTAACTTCTGTTTTGCATTATGTTAATTAAAGCCTTAATGTGTTGCAACTATACATACACATGATAATAGTAAATGATCTATATTTTTAACTGTTTTAAGAATTTAAATTATCTGATATATGCATTTATTGTAGAACATAATAAATTCTGTATGTAAATAATTCATATAAATGGCAATTATATAAAAATTAAAGTTTTAAATTATTATTAGAATTTTAGACATTTCATTTTTCCTTTTCTTATGCTTACTATTATGTACTAGAAATTCTTCAGCCAAGTATAAGAAAGTAGAGTCTAAAGAATTAATAGTAGTACAGATTTCAATAACTAATATTTCTACAAATTCAACAGTTTATACTGTTCATCGGAACATAACTGAAACATGATAATATATTTTAAACAACAGGCTCATTAGATCATTACTTCAGATTGAATAATAGGATGCCACATGATCACTATGGAAAACAATATAATTTGTTGTTCATGAGGGCAGACATTTGCTTTATTTATTTATTGTATTTATTTTTATATTGTAAAAATGCATCCTTGAGCAGTGTTGACAGCTCTTAAGAGAAAATGTTTTTAATAATTTTTGAAGTGGATAAAAAAGCATTATTAGCTTATAACACAATTTTCCATAAAAAAGCATTGTGGGACAATTTTACCAGGTTGCTCAGTGATGTAAAATTTACTACTTGCTCACATAAGGGTTAAGCTGTTTTAAATCTGTAAAGAATCTATTGATAAAACCAAGAAAAATTTCAATGACGACATTTGATAACAATGCAGTATTTAAATCAATAAATTATTTTAAAAATAAAAATTAAGATAATTTACTAGTTAAAAATATAGTAATTTTTCATTAGAATATCTACTTTCATAATATATAATCATTTTTGTTTGAATACTTTTGTAATTATGCAGAAATGCTTAAATTTAATATATTCAGTTATGATTCTACATAAATACAAAATATGTAACTTTTCAGTTATAAATGCTACATATATATTCAGAAATATTGTTCTTATTTAATGAAAATTTGCATTAAATGAAATTGTGTTGTATAGTAGAGGGTTTAATAATAATTTTTGCTTTTAGGTATCAGCACATATGTATAAAATTGAATTCATGTCTGTCCACACAAAACTTATTCAGTATAAGTACTTATATTCAGTGTAAGTATAAAGTTATAAAATATTACTGTTTAAAATAATCAGTATCCTTCCATATTTTCCATTTCCAAAAACTTCAATTTTATAAGCTTTTATAGAATTATGATATCATTTGCAAGAGTAAATAGTTCAAACCTGGTTCTTATCAGAGCTTTTACATAAATAGGAAGTTTTGCCTAGAGGCCAGTGGGTCTAAAATAAACCATGAAATTCAAATACAAGTTAATGTAGTCATTAACAGATGAAAGTGGACATCAGTGAAAGCTTGGCAGCCTGTTATAATGTATGCAATATTAAACTTATTGTCATTTTCACCTGTGCCAGAGTGTCAGTGAGTCCCTAGAATTTCTATCAATGTAAAATTGTTTTTGGGTCAGATCTATTGTAAGATTATCACGTACATATTCTTTTTCCGAGTACATTTTTATATGAGTATATTAAGTAAAGATTATATATAATTTTTCCAAGTGAAGCCTGGTAACCCAACTATTATTATTATAATTGGAAAAGCCTTAAAGTGAGGAGAGGAAACTTTTTCAGAATTTAGACAAAATATTTTAGAAGTTGTAGGAATATTTATGCCTAACCACTTTTTTGAAATTTTATGGTAATAGTATTGTTAGTTAATTAGTTAAAATAACAATGATATTACTATAAATGTGATTAGTTTACATTTAAATTAAATATCCGCTTAAACATTATGAGTATAAGAAAAAACTTACATACTGTTTGAAACCTATAATTTACAAATTTATTAATTAAATGCATACCTATTTCTATGATTTATAATTATAATATATACTTACCATGTAATATTCTAAATATCCTGTTTCTGGATTCAATACGAACCATCTAAATTGCCATCCTTTCACTACGTTTGTATATTTGAATAATAAACCTTCTAATGGATTCCTGAAAAGTAATCAAACAATACAAATGTAGATTAAACTTATTAATCATTATTTTAAAAATTATATCAATTTGACAGCACTTATTTCTTTAAGAAAAATTAGCAAGACATTATATTCATATTATCTTCGTAGTAGAATACAATTAGAATACAATATTTGAAAAATACAAAATCTAAAATTTGAAAAATCTGTTTTAATATTTTATATGGCATTTTAAAATTTTAAATGTGACAAGGTAACTTCTGTTTTGCATTATGTTAATTAAAGCCTTAATGTGTTGCAACTATACATACACATGATAATAGTAAATGATCTATATTTTTAACTGTTTTAAGAATTTAAATTATCTGATATATGCATTTATTGTAGAACATAATAAATTCTGTATGTAAATAATTCATATAAATGGCAATTATATAAAAATTAAAGTTTTAAATTATTATTAGAATTTTAGACATTTCATTTTTCCTTTTCTTATGCTTACTATTATGTACTAGAAATTCTTCAGCCAAGTATAAGAAAGTAGAGTCTAAAGAATTAATAGTAGTACAGATTTTAATAACTAATATTTCTACAAATTCAACAGTTTATACTGTTCATCGGAACATAACTGAAACATGATAATATATTTTAAACAACAGGCTCATTAGATCATTACTTCAGATTGAATAATAGGATGCCACATGATCACTATGGAAAGACTTTTTAAAAAATTGGTTATAGAAGTGACATGGCATGGCTATTTTTTTTTTTTTTTTAAAGTTTAAATTTAATGAAGTAAGTTTAAAGTATGCCATTTGTCAAAATATTTTAAAATGCAACTTAAGAGAAATTCCATAGTCAAGCTTGAACTAAATGAGGTCACCGATGTCACACTGATAAGTGCAATCACCAATCCAAAATCAATAAAATTGTTTATTTTATAGTTAATATTTTGGCAAAATAAATAGCCTATACTTTGTCAGAACATAAAATGAATATAACCAAAATTTCATCTGGATTGGACAAAAATTGCAGGAGTTATAAGGAATTCACACACACACAGACAATAGTTTTTATATTATTAACACTGTTGTTAATTATTTATATTTTTGAGGAATAGTAAAACTTCTAAAAGCTGAAATTGCATGAGGCTATGAACTTTCTGGTTAGGCAGGTTTTCCATCTGATGCAAGAAAGTGCTGCCTGCCTCAAAATATAAAAGGTACTTTATTACTTTCCTCAGTGTTATCTATAACAAAGGGAAAGTATGGCAATTGGTTAAAAAATGACCACAAAGATTTTTTCATTTTTGGACTCTGGATCTTGGAATGCCAAGAAATGCAAAAAAATTTAGTTTTTTCTGTATGTATGGATGATAGTGTGTGGGGGTACAATTTTGTTCTCCATCTTTGAAGAAGCTTAATAATTCCTGTGCTTTTAGTCAAAATTTTCTGAAATTTTGCAGGTAGGTTTGTGTATTAGGAGGATCAATGTTATTCAATTTTTATGGTTAATTAATTAAAGATCAAGGTGGTAGGGAGATAAAGGGGTCGTGTCAGATCAGACCTTACTTGAGATATGGCACGACCCTCATTTCTACCCTCAAAATTAAGTTTTTTGCCATTTTATAATAATTAAAAAAATAAAAAGTTTTTAATAATAAAATGTCATAACAGATGGCACCACCAAATGTTGCCAGGAAAGTTAAGCAACTTGTTGCTGGATTTTTTCTGTAGTATTTGCTGTATTCTTTGAAATGATCCAAAAATCAAAAGAAAAATGTGCAGAATTCAGTTGTGAATATATATACAATGTATATATTCACAACCACAACTGAAAGAAGAATGCATGCTTGATATGTACTCTTTTACATGAAGCTTTGTACTGTATTTACTCACTGAAATGGTACTTTTTAAATGTCATCTTGAAAGATTTACTTGTCTGAATTTCAAATTTTAAAAGCTCAAATTTGATACTCTGGAGCTTTCATTACGCTAGTCTTAATCATAATTATTAATGAAGTATTCAATATTTTCGGTAAAATTTTTTTAAATATGTAATTGTACAGTGGTACCTCAGGTTACGAACGCCCCAGCATACGAAATTTTCAGGATACGACATGAAATTCGAACATATTTTTGCTCCATGATACGAACAAAAACTCACCATACGACGTTACATTAGTTCGCATTTTTCATTTGTTTTTCTTACTACAGTTATTTTTTTGAATGTATTACTTGGCTTTAATTTGAGTATGTTTTTCGCGTTGGAACGAATTATTTGGTTTTAAATGTAATCGTATGGGAAAAGATGATCCACCTTACGACATTTTCATGATACGATATCAGTTTCGGAACGGATTAATTTCGTATCCTGAGGTACCACTGTATTAGGAAAGCAAAAAAGAAAGAAACCAAAGTGGACTTAAATCAGAAACACAAATGAATAAATGTGGACAGAAACAGAAAATAATATTTCTATCAAAGTGTGGCAAATAGGAGAAACAAAATATTTCATGTTGTTGTTCACTCTAGTTAAAAGTACCATCTCAATTAAAAAAAATAGCATATACTTTTCACTGGCACCTATAAGAACAAAAAGATGTTTAAACCTAAATTTGAAGCAAAGATGTAATGCTCAAACTCTAGATTATTTATTAAAAATGATTACTTTCTAAAGTATTTTGCTTTGTTCAATATTAGGTTCTTATTGATCAAATTAACTTAGTTCATATGTTGTCAGGCCTTAATCACAAAATTTATATTATGTTTTTAAATAATTAACAGACTCATTAGAGTTAATGTTAATTATATTATTTAACTGTGCTATTTCCTAAAATCTATTAACTTATAGGCAAAATAAATATTAATAGAATTAATCTTATTCCTAATATTTTTGTATCAGGCTTTTCAATTCAATATTTGCTTAAGTTTGTCTTTCACAGGTTCCATGTAATATGAATTAACAACAGAGGTATAACAAGCTTTCTGTATTCTGTATCTTACAACATAGTTAGTCACAAGAACCTTAAGACATGAGAAGAAAGCTACTTTGAGAAAATTTGAAGATAGAAAATTGCATTTATTTTGGCTCTATCTTAGGGAAGTCCTGCCTCTTATAGGTTTATCTGTAGTAATATGTAAATCTAATTACAATGGAATTTTTTCTCCCTCCTAAATTATTACACAAAATTAAAAATTTTAAATTATTTACCTCATTTTATTCTCTTCCTGAACATCAAACTCCTACAAAATTTTACAATAATTAAAAAATTATTATAAATTTCTGATATAAACTAATAGTTCATTTATTTGTTTTTCATAAAACAAAATATTAAAAAGTTATTAATTAGATAATGATTTAAATTTATCAAATATCTTAAAAACTATAAAAAAAAAAAATTATTAGAAATTTAAAATTTCTGTCTCCTTATAAAGCATTTATTTATTTTAAAAATCAAAATAAATATTTGAACTTGAAATAGTATATAAAAAATATCAAAAAGTTCCAAATATTTTATTATACATTATTCAACATGAAATCTAATAATGTAATATTCTGTTTTCAATCCAAATCTCTGCAAAAAAATAATATTGGTAGTATGACATTATCTGATAAAATTATTAAACTGGTTCCATTCATTTGGTATCTGTTGATTGCCAAATAATTATCTTTTGCCAAAGTATTTGCCAAAGTGTTTGTCATGTTGCAAGTATATATGTACTGTACATACTTGATTGCTAAGCATCAGTTTTTTGTGGGAGTTATGGATGTTTGTTCAAGACTCATTCCCTTTGATTTGGCACAATACTGTATGCCAATAAGGAATGGTAAATAGTAAGTACTGAACATTTGTTGAGTGAAGTCATCCACACTACTTGGTATTGGCTAAATGTTTGCTCAGTATTTGGCAAATACCTAATGGGTGGAGCCAGCTGTAAGTTTTTGTGAAAGACGCAATAATAATTATAAAAAACATTTTTCATTATTAAATAAGATATATAATAATAATAATAAAAATTTGGAGAGACTGAAGGTTTTATGGTTTCCATTCAAGATCAGGTTATAAACACTAAAAACTACAGAAAACAGATTGAAGGATACATCACTCACAAATGACTCTTGCATAAAATGCCACATTCTGCCAGAAACAATACAACATATAACCTCTGGTTGCAGGCTCTTAGCATAAACAGACTATTTTCATTGGCATAATCAAGTAGCAAATACAATACATCAAGAGCTTGCTCATAACACAGCTTATTAAACATCCAGATACCATACTACAGATATACTATATATGCAGTTTTAGAAAATGACAGCCATAATCACAGATAAAACAATTCATCACAGTAGACCTGACATTACTCTCATTGACAAATGCAGTAAGATCACTTATATCAGTGCTTCTCAAACTTTTTTGGTTCATAGTCCTCTTGCAATTGCTAGTAGTAACAGTCCCAGGTGAATCTTAAAAAGCTCCAAAGTGCAGCTTAAATTGGGCGACTAAGATGCAGATCGCCCACTTTAAGAAGCATTGACTCATATAATAGACATCTGTGTTCCAAACACTAATAACATGAAAAATGCTCACACTGAAAAAAATCAAAAAGTACACTCCACTTACTCAAAAATTAAGTCAGATGTGCAGGATGGATAAGATATTTATTATACCTGTTATCCTCTCTTCTACTGATGTTATATCACACACATTACACAAAATTCTAGAAACATTAAACCTTAACATGACACTAAAGAAAGCTGCAATACTGAACACATCATATTGTTAGGAAGTTTCCAGATGTTGATACACATACTAATAACACAGCTTAATGTTACACTTGTTTGGGTAGCTATGCTTTGACTTTAGTCTGGTGCTAGTGGTATAATAGCATTTGGTACTAGTATCAGTTGAGCATGACATTTGCAACATAATAATAATAATTTATTGTGACATTAAAAATTATAGCCCAGCACTGTGACAATCATATATTTTTAATTTATTTCATTTAAAATATAGCTGTCCAACTCAAATTAGTAGTGTTTTGCCCCTCTACACAATACTTTTCCTGTTAGCAACAAAATCATGCTGTCAATTATCTAACTCCTTATAGGGGAAATTTTTGAATTGATGTAATGTGATTTCCAGTTTGCTTCAGAAGTTCATATATTTAATCAGGGCCTCCTTTCCCCAATCATTCCATATCTGTTCTCAGCTTTCATCTAACTAGCTCCGTTCTCAAGATTAAGGAAAGACAGACAGACAACAGTGGAAATTTATAGGTCTACAATTTTTTAAAATTGCAGCCCAATAAAAACAAAAATTTTGTCAGTATCAATCAGTTAATGATCAAATAATTGAACTAGAATAAACAAATATGTAATAAAAAAAATATATTAAATCATAAAATATTAGCAGATATGCCAAGAAAAAAGTAAAAAGTTGTTAAATCTAGAACATTTTATTCTAGAAGGTAATTTTTATTTTTAGGAAATTGTATGGTAACACTCAAGTATCTTGTCAATTATTCCAATTTAAAATCATCAATCAGAACACATACAATTCGATAATTGTATGTAGAAAATTACAAAGTTACATTTTTTGTTATATACTTTCTAAGAAGAGAAAGAACTCTTCTTACAATGATTCATAGTTACATTTAAGATTAAATCTAAACATAGAATAAAAAGTAATCAATGAATAACTTTTTAAAACTTTATCATGCTTTTTTGATAAACATGTTATATTCAAGAAGCATTTAAGATGTGTAAGTATATGCATGTGTCCTGTTAATTATAATATAATTAAATAAAATTATACCAATATATAATTTTAGCATTATTGGAAAAGTTAGTTATGTAATTTTTAAAATAACTCTTTCTTTTTGATGTCTTCTTTTTGATAATCAATCAAAAATGACTTAAACTTATCGATTTTTGAGAACCAATGTTCTCAAAATATATCCTATGAATAAAATATGATATACTTTCAAATATTATTGCACCATGTTAAAATTGAATACATTTTTTATATCTAACATTAAAATTTAATAAATAATATGACAAAATACACACACACTATGTGTGTGTATTATGACAGATCAAAACAACAAATGAGATATTTGGAAATATCTATCAATCAATTTTTCGAAACTTGAAATCTTGAAAACTAAATACAGTAGGGCGTCATTTATCTGAATCAATTGGGGACTGGGGTTGTTTGGGGAATAATTTATTTTTCGGATAACTGATTATGTACAAACAAATATATTAACCTATCCCATGTTGAAATTTTTCTCCATTGTGTGTTGCTTCGAATTGAATTTTCGTTGATGTTAAGCCTAATATAAATTTTTTTAAATAATAATCGTGGCTATTGTATCTTTAAAAATAATGTCTTTATTTTGAACAAACAAAATATAATGAAAAATATAAAAACAAAAAAATTATTTTTTGGAAGTTAATCTAGTATCAACAACATTCGATTCAGAACGACACAGTCTGACTGGAATGCTTTCGGTTAACTGACATTCCAGTTGATTGGCTTTCAGATAAATGATGCTCTACTGTAGATAAAGCCACTGACTGAAAATTGGCAGTTGGATCTGGGTTCATGCCTGACTAACAAGCTGGTTGCATGGAGTTTAAGGTTTTATTTACATATCTAAACAGGAATGGTTTTTCCATAGAAAATCATCCCAGGAGATAAGGGATGTTTGGAAATGAAAGAATCATTTCAACTGATTGTATCTTAGTATTTTATCAGAACAAAGATCAACTTTGTTCATGGAATAGCCCAGACAATTCAGATTCACATTTTGCAGAGCAATGGTCCTTACACACCATGTTGTCCTATACATCTCAATTTTGCTTGAACTCCTGCTATGAACACCATACAAGACTTCCTAATGTTTTGAGCAATATTTTTCCAAATTGTGCTTGAATAAATTCAAGTATTTTGCACTACAAGGTCAAGAGGTATATTACTGTTTACACAGTGACCAAATTCTTTCAATGGGATGAGGGATACATGGGGACATTGTTTCAATTTCTACAAACTCAAGCCTAATAAAGGGTGTCCAAACAATTAATGCAGGTTTTAAATTTTTAGCCCATTTTTCTTTTATTGGGTTGGCAACACCATATGAAGTGACATTTTGCAGTTAGTTAATATGGAGCGATACACAATGGAGGAGCACATAATGATTATCAAAACTTATTACAAGTATAGGAAAAGTTTTTCTGTGTAAATTACATGGCATTTTTAGTTGGAGAGATATGCCAAATGAAATGACTGTACACAACAAATGCATGCCCAATGAGTGACAGTTTGGAGATGATTTTTGGACCAGTGGAGTGATTGGAAAAATTTCAAACCATATTTTTTCAAAAATGAAGCTGAAAATGCAGTTACTGTGAATGGTGTACATTATCGCGAGATAATATTGGCATTTTTGTGGTTTCATTTGGACAGCGTGGTTTTGAGTAACATGCAATTCCAGCAGAATGATGCCACTTGTCATATGGCACATGAACCAATAGAGTTGTTGTAGCAGAAGTTTCTTGGGTAACATCTCTCACAACAGTGATCAGAATTGGCTACCAAGATCATGCAATCTGACACCATGCAACTTTTTTCTCTGGGGTTTGTCAAGTCCAAAGTTTATACCACTAAAATAAGAACAATTCCTGAATTAAAAGCAGAAATTTGAAAATAAAACTGAGCATCAATTGTGCAAAAATGTAACTGAAAATTGCATCAAAAGAATGTCATTTGTCAGATATTCTATTCTATATTTAATTGCAATGTTTATCCTTTAAAACGATGTAACAACTTTCCCAATTAATGAATAAATATGTTCTTTTTAAAATTTAAATCCTGTGCTACTTTTGAGACACCGTATACTTTGAACATAGTAATTTTCTGTCATAATAGGCCATTGCTAAATCTGACGAAAACTCCACATCTTCCAGGTTTCGATGTTTTTGGATGAAGAGAATCAAATGCTTTTTAATACACTCTTTGAAGTATATGTAAACATTGACAAATTCTCAGAAAGGAAAGGTTCAGTTATATGTCTTCATTCATCAATTGCCTATCATATAAAATAATTTTTTAGAAAGTTAGGTTTTCTATAAACTTGACTTTAATATGGTACTGTACATCTGACTTGTTAGTGGAATGGTAGAATTTTATTCAAGGCACTTGTTTTGGATCTTCAAAGTAGTATGTCTCATCATCTAGGATCAATACTTACTCTCCTTTGGCACATAGCTGAAAACATGTTGATATTCAGCTATTAGTTTTTGATCTGTGTTCCTGCTGCTGACTGTACTTTGGAACTGGTTCCTCTTTGTGAGCAGTGATGCCTAACTTCTTCACTTTTATGTCATATAGGGTATTTACCACAAGATCAAGTTTAGCAACCACTGTTCTCAATGATGTCTCAGGGTCCTGCTTGAATATGCATTCCACTGACAGCATAGCTTTATCGGTTCCTATGCTTGCAGGTTGACCAGTAGACTTTTGATACTTACAGTTACACATTGCTTGAACCTATCCAACTAATTGTTTGATATTTTCAAGCAAAGCCTTCTTTTGATCTCTCCCTGAAATGTTTTCATAGTAATGGCATATACATAGAACAAGAGCCTCACTTCTTTTATTCTACTTTGCATATATCATGAGAAGAAGACTTACCATGATTTGCATCAGATAACTATGTTAACACATTGTTTTCTTAAGTGATTCTTTCATTTCTGAACACCCCTTATTTCCTTCACAGAATTACATTATCTCATTATATTATATTATAGAGAAATATATTATCTCATCAAACTGAACAAAACATACTTTTAATACTATTGAAAATTTGAAGTTAAGTTATATAAATAGACATAAATATGACAGATAGTAATTTGTCAAATTGTTTCAATATAACTACATCTATCTAAAATAAATTTCTTCATAAAACTATTTTTTAACATAAAATTTACACATTCTAAAATTTGTTGTCAAATCCATTTTCAACAACAGACCAAAAACTTAGCTTCTTTTTTTTATCTTCTTAAAAAATACAAAAAGTTAAATAAAAGATTTATTATAAGTTTCAAAATATTAAGCATTTGTTAACATTTATCCAATGTAAGTCTTGTTCTTTGTATAATGACAATAATTTCTCAATGAATTTACCAATGACTGATTAATGAAATACATTATAATTCTTTGAAAATTTTATAATTTAAACAACATCTATTCATATAAAAATATGCTTATTTTAACTTTAAATTTTGTTTTATTATAGTGATCATTTCAAAATTAGTCATTTAAGGTTTAACAACTTATCACCTAAGGTTTTTTGATTTATAGACATTGATTGCTTATAAAATATATATATATTAAATGAAGTAAATATTAATATTTACATAATATATTTAAAAGATTTCACTCAGAATAGTACTACTTCATAAAGTACATTCATGCATTATCATGCCTGCACAACGATAGAAACGAATTTATCAAGCAGGCTATTATATAAGTATGATATACATTGATGGCATATTTATTGAAATGAAAACAATGATCAAATTAAGTATATAATACATTAAATATAATTATATTAAAAAATTCAAAATAATTAGAATCTTTAGAATTAGAATTTTTTCCCTATTGAAACATCAATCAATTTGTTAATGGTAATGTAATATACTTAAAAGGGAATTACTACAACTTATGATGTCCCTGCTGAATCAGGCTGAAACTTTTTTGGCAGTGGTGCACTCAAGATTTAATCTTGGGGAACCAAGTTAAATGAAAACAATTTTTAATGCAAATTTAATAAAATTTCCATCTTATGTGACCGCTATTTATAAGTAATATAGAAATAGAATACATGCCATAAATAAAAATGATCAATACAAAACCTTCCTCACTTATAGAAGTATAAATAATAAAAAAATGAATTTTAATAAGGAAAATATTTTTGGTAAATTTACTAGGTGTTTCTTTTCCTTTTACTTTGGGGGGGTGCAAGGTCTCCCTGGGCCTATCCTTGGGTACACAAATTTGGAGCTGAAGATTGGTACAGGGTAGTTTGAGACCAGGGCTAACACACCAAAAAAGTTTTTGGCCCTACTGTGGATTTAAGTGGGAACATCACAGGCAATAGTAATGCCCTTTATAAACTTCAGCTTACTTTTACAGGCAGAAATGCTGTTTTGAATGAGAGAGTTAGGACCTTATCAGAGCTGTAGACCATGCAATGGCATTTGTAGTGTTTTTTAGCTAGAATTTAAATAATTATCCCGTTCAGATATTGATTAAATTTAATCTTAGGAGCCTTTAAAACACCCCTTTGATTATCTTCAAATTTTTGTTTACAACTGTAATTATTATTTTTTTTAATTAACACTAATTGTTAATTAAAGCTTATAGATGGATGCAGAAAAATAATAAATACCTTTGCTTTTAACATCACTGACATCAGTTGTGACTTCTCTTCCTCGCTTAATCCCGGAACGTCATTAACTAATATTTGAATGTTTTCGTCACAAGTAACAGCCCCCACTCGATCCACCATTTTTGGCAAATCACCAACTTGATTACAGCGACATCTTCCATTTTTTTTTTTTTTTTTTTCTTTTTTTTGGAAAAAAAAAAATTTAAAAAAAAAAAAATATCAAATTTAATTCGTTTTCTCGGTAAATATTATTTTCCTTGATCTAATTTACGTATTGGAAATTTTTCGCTATTTTTAGTAAAATATTTTTCATGCATATCATTGACTTAAAATCGTGATAAATTACGACATTAATGCGCCATCGGAGTCGTAAATTGCGACGAGAACCAAATAGGCATTGCAAAAACGCACGAAAAACAAGCCAATTTGTATATTAACGTGATATTTAATACTCCAGATTTTTTCGACTTAATCTAATCTAACAGATTGGCGGTTATCGCGCAAATAAAAAGATACTCTGCAATGTTTTTACGTTGACGCTTAGGGTCTGTCGTAAATTACGTAACGCAGATACGAGTGGGCGGGTATGCGGGTAATCGTTACCGTGCGTTACAAGGGGGTGGAGGGTGTTTAAAAACGTTACTTAATGCTAAAGTCTCAACCTTTGAGTAACAGAATGACTCATTTGTGTTTCTAAATAATTGCGTTACGAACTGTATTGTTTTCGTCGTTGCTCTGTATGTTATATACTTAACTAATAATGTAACGTTCACAATCCCCCTACTTCGTATTATTCTTTAATACAGTTAAAAGGTAGATCGAGGTATGAGTTACGTAATTTTGGAGTGTGTGTGCACGACAGCGTTACGTAGCTTTAAGAAAGTGAGATGGTTGTTGAAAAGCATGAAAATAGCTTCAGCAGCCTACATAATTTTTGGACTGTCCCTTATCCATAACTTAAAAACACGACAGATTAAAGAAAACACGTTTCCAATCAAAAAAGGATGTAGGAACTGATGATGGTGATAATTGCTTCCTGAGCTTTTTTTATTGTTCAGCTTTCACTATATCATAGCTTTTGAATTCATTCTTCTTATGAAATGAACAGGACTTTTAAAATGATTGCTAGAACTTGTTTCCGAATTGGCTTAAAGAGTGAAGTCTGATGATAATATTTAAGTTTTCTGTAATAATTATAAAATATAATTATTATTAATAAATAGTATTTATTTCATTATGCGAATTAAAAATTGTCTCCTCTGAAATTTGCTCCTGAATTCCTGGAAATTTTAAATGAACGAAAATGTTGAAGGCTGATGAATATGTAAATAGATGGATGAAATGAACAAAATGCCTGAAAACTTGCATTATTTACTGCAATAATGATTATGTAAATAAGAGTAAATTTATAGTTACATTACATTCGATTCGTTTTAATATATTATCTGAATTATTTCTTTTAATATAATTATAGTTAACGCTTTATATGACAAAAGATAGCATTTTAATCCTATCAATTAAGTTACTAGCGTTTGCGGAAATCAAGACGGAAACCAAATTTCTTTTTTTCTTTTTTTACTTTCCCGGCTGTTATACACAGGGAAAGTTTAAAATGCAGGGAATGTATAAAGTACAGGCGTTAAAATGACCCCCCCAGATTTTTACATTTTTGAACTTAGGACACCTTGAGAAATTCAAAAAAAATTCGAGGATAATTTCTGTATGTATGGATGTTAGTGTATGTGGCACGATTTTGTTCACTCTGAAGCTTAATAACGCCTGTGCTTTTTGTCAAAATTTCTAAAATTTTGCAGATTTGTTTATTAGGTGGTTTGATGCAACGGTTCAATAGTTGCAGGCAGTGTATGCCTTGAAATGCCACGCACATGGCGTGCTAAAAGTCCCAGAACCAAAAATCACATGGATTGAAGTCCGGGGATCTTGCAGACCAGTATGCCACTATTTCAACTTGAAAAGCGCCCTCTAATGGTGGTTTTGGAACTAACTTATTTTACTCTAGAAGAATTCCCATCATCTCATTGAGGCATTACCAAACTTTCATGACTTCATGATGAATAGTTTTTGCTGTAGTCAGCAGGGAAATGTCAAATTTAATTTGGGACACCCTGTATTTCGTTCTTCCGCATTACTATTACATGTGGGGTAATCACGAACTGTGTTCTCCATTACTCCAAGATTAGTTGATAGCTTTTATTGAATATACTATTTTTTAAGTAGGTAAGCAATAAATAATAACTATAGATTCTTATAACATGATACTATTATAAGAAAAAGTTATTGATACTATTTGAAAGAAACACACGTAGAAAATGATTTTAGTATTGTAAAAGCACATGTGAAAACTGAAAGAAAAGCGCACAAATTAATGTTTATGTATTTATGCAACAATTACAAATGAAGAACTTTCTATTGGAGCCATCCTCTCCAATGCATTCAGAATGGATCTGATCACTGCAAATAGTGTATCTGAACAATAGCGAACACTGTTCGTGACTGTCAGTGCAAATGTAGTACAAACATTATAATATGATTTACGTATCAACAATGATCATGTCTTAGTACCAAAGAGTAAAAATATGAAAAAGTTTTAAAATATGCTTACTAATACAAATTTTCCTGCTATTAATACCAATATAAACGTTCACGTAGATAATGCCAATGCCTCAACCCTCTCCTTTCCAAAGAAAAGTACTGTACATCGTTGTTTGTACTTTTGTATGCATTTTCTATGTATGTATGTATGTATTATACAATGATGTACTGGTACTTTTCTTTCCCTTTAAGTGTATAAGAGGACAGCAATAGATGACATTTAGAACGAATAGAATAATCTATGACACTTCTATTTAAATTATTGATTTTAATTTCTTCTNAAACTACTATTTATATTATTTAACTTTCTATAGTTATTTATAATATCTATGGGATATTTATAATCAACAATTTAATTATATTATGGAATTGTGTGTATTACAGTAAATAATTTCTTAAAATTTACTTTAAAGTAACCTTCATACTGTATATTCTGTACCTCCTGAAGTTGTCATTTAAAACATGTCACTTAGCCCATATGCAGTTTAGATGTTTTCTTAGATATTCCATTTCTTCCCCATTTCTTTTATTTCCTTTAGCATTTCATTGTGGATATAATTATAAAATAAATGAAATGGACAAAACAAAATACTTGAGATAGAAGTGTCTAAACCAGTGATGAGCAACCTTTTCTGGATTTGGGCATCAAGCAAACTTTATAGTCTGACATGACACAAGCATTTTTTCTTCTGGAGTTGCAGTCTTTAAGCCTGCGGAATACCAACATAATTCACAACTGCCAGTACACTAGGTGCTAAAATATGCAAATTCTGACAGTATACATACACACTCTTATTAAATAATTTTTTTAAACTTTACAATCCTGCCTTTGCAGGTGTATGAATACTCTTGGCAATTTGCTGATCCAAAAATAGGATTCTATCTTCAATTTATTTGGCTGGTTACATACATTGTTAAATGCATTTTAGGCCAACTTTCATGTTAAGGCCTCTTTTCTGTAACTGAAGTTATTTAAAATAAATATAAAGTTATTTACATTATTTTCATCTTATAGAAATGAAGACAATGTAAAGGATTTACGAAATTGGTAAATTTTTTCTGGTTCTTAAATGTGTGTGTCTAGAATTCAGGGGAAAAAAAACAAATAAAAACTTCAAATGCATATTTTTTCAAATTTGGGGTATAATTTATATTATTTTTCTAGTACAAACTTCAACTACAGTTCTACTGTCGCATACCATTATAGAAAAATGTATTTTCTAATTAATCTTTCAATTGTTATCGATATACTGAAACATTTTAAGTTCTGCAAATCATCTGGAATGATGATAGTTTATTAAACATAAAAGTAAATGTATTAAAATATTTTAATTATAAGAATCTTAGTATAAATTATTCAAATGAAAATATGAACAAAGTAAGAATTTACAACAAACTTAAAGCTTAAAAAATAAAGTTTTCTTATTAATTACTATTGATATACGTAACTTTAGATTTAAACGTTTTATTTGTTTAAAATCTCTTAATAGAAAACATTTAAAGAACTTACATTAAAACTCACGTTTTTAAAACAACGAAATTTAGGAAATCTAATTTTAATTTTTTTTATCCAAGCCATATTCGAATGAAATTTTAAACTTTAGAACGATTACGTGGTTTGAAACAGTAATGAATGTATTTTAATTTAATTCTTTAATTACGAAATATCAACAATTTAAAATTGATCTTACGAAATTTACATAATGATTAATAAAAACTTTTGTTACAATGTAATAATGTAAATATCTATAAAAAAATCATTTAAATTAGTATAGTGCTATATAAAATAACATATTTTATATAGTACTATACAGTCGACTCCTCCCTATAACACTGTTGATTATTCCGTTTTATATGAATTCCATGTTATACGAGTCACTTAGATTTTACAAATATGTGAGCCGTTCACAGCCCGCCACACGTATTTGTAAAATCTAAGTGATTCGTACAACATGGAATTCTTATAAAACGGAATAATCAACAGTGTTATAGGGGGGTCGACTGTACTAATACCGAAGTAACCGTATTTCGAACTAACAGAATTTAACATGTAAATCTCTATATCCCCAGACGGAACAAAAGTACAGTTACGAACTAACAGGATTTCGAACTATTTCCTGTATTACTGTTTGTATACTTTGTACTTTTATGTTATACAAATTTATTATTTTAAAAATACACATTAAATTTATGATTACAATTTTTTTTTTTTTCTTTTCTTTCTTATATCTGTACTGTACAAAGATATTTAAGTCTATATCTATGATTTATAGGATTTAGATATTCTATCTCCTATTAGATAATATAAACAATATTACATTCAATCTCTATTATCAATTTGTTATTTTATTCATTTATCTATATATTGGCATCTTTTTAAATGTTATTCAGGTTAAAGTTCTCAATGATGATTTATAAATAAATTGGTAAAGAAATATTTAAATTATATACAAATAAATACAGTATTTAAACCTATATACAGTAATTTTATACAGTCTCGGACCTTACTGAAGTAAAACTACATACTGTATAAGATATTTACAATAAACTTTCTTATAAATAAATAAATAATTTTTATAATTTATGCTTTAAAAAGACATTTTTAAATTACAATAGAAACTTGATTAACCAAACTTGAGATCAGAGGTTTTCCGATAAACGAAATTTCGGATAGTCCAGAAACTCGTTTGTTTTTATACAGTATTTCGATATAACAACAGGTACAGTACCGTCCATTTAAAGTTTGCATTACAGTATTTATTGTTCATAAATTACTGTTTTTATAAGTAAATTAATTTACTTAAAATTTAGCATAATGTTACGTATATGACCGAGACCAACTATTGGCCAAGCAAATAGAACAATGAACACTGGACGTTGATCGCGGATTCGCGCCTTGCCAGCCCAATGGAATTTTCCGGATTTTATTCACGTTTATAACACCTAAATAAGGGCCAATTTTCATAAAAAGTTCTCCCTAGAGGCCAAGCGTTACGTTTCTGTATATAAACAAACGCGTATGACCTAGTTTCGTGGCGCTACGATCGACAGATGACGTAGTGAGTTCCAGTTACTTAGAGAGTTTGGCTTACGTTTTATACTGTGATATGCCTACTTGCTTTGAGTTTTTATTTTTATTTTTTTCAAAACCATTTCGGATAATCGAGTTTTTACTGCAAAATAAAATTATCATATTTATCTCTTATTTCTTAAAGATGACTGAACTAATATTAAGCTAAATGAATCAAATGCTTTTGATGATTCGAGCTATCAAACTATCAAAAGAATTTGGTTCATCAATAATTTAAACATAATATGCAAATTATAGTACGTTTATAGTACAGAAATACTATAACTTGTTTTTGAACGGCAATTCTAGGCAAGGTCTATATAAGAAGGTCAGGACACGCGTGACTTACTTCTTGAGCCGCCATTTTTGGGAATGCCAATGGTCGAGCCGTTGATACCAGCTAAAACACGCAAAAATTTAACAAAAATAATATTAAAGTAGCCAAGACATAGCTAAATATTGTAATGCCACATCACTAGCGGACATTTGAAATTTGCCGACAAGAACGGTCGGTTAACCGATGTGACGGTTAATCGGGGGTCGGATAATCGATGCTCTACTGTAAAGATAAAAAGAGTAGTTTTAAATCTTTATATTTATTCCGTGATATTTGTGTTTAAGCTTGCAGGATCCGCGTTGAAATGACTTCTGTAACTGTAACTAAGTTGTGTGAATACCGTTATCTGGATAATGACGTAGTTTATTAGCTGAAATGTAACAACAAAATATTATAAATTACGAATATAAATAAATAAGACAATTATTAATTTATTAAAACATTTAAAACAATAAAATTTGTTCATTTTAATGAATGAAATAAACAATTTCATTCTATCCATTGTTCAACAAGTACTCGATTTTTTAAATTAATTTCTATGTCTGTTTGATTAAACTTACTTTTATAATAAACATCTTATTGAAAATAAAGAACTTGTTACAACTCATTCCGTCCTTTGTACTTTTCTGAATTTGAAGCATGTTCAAGATCTACATTAAATTTCAATTCTTAATCACATGTACTGTACAGTACTTCAATATAATAACTTAAACTTGTAAATGTAATCTAACCTTTAATTCTGAATTCGAATCGATCACTTGAAAGTAGAGTGATATCAACAAATTCCACATCTTGGATAACTACACAAACAATAAACTTTTTTTATTATTTCATTTATTTAAATATATAACAGTACTAGATTATAGAAATGTTGATACTTACTTCTACAGATAAAGGAACAAAAACTGAAAGAAAGAAAACAAGAAGAAAAAATAACGAAAGAAAAACAATACACCAGACGAATACAATATAAGTGGGACCATCCGTAAAAAGAATTGCGTATAAACTGGGAATGGCTTCAGATATAATAGCCAGTATTATTTCCATATTAATTGCCCCAATCATGCGATCAACAATTTTAATTAAATTATATAACATTATTCCTTTCTGGTGGATAATAATGACATCTTTGGTTGATTTTAATTTCCTTTCACTTGTCTCAGTTGAAAAAGAACGTTTAACAAGCGTAATAACGCGAATTATTGTGTATTCAACATATGCGAGTATTACTATAATTCCTAATATATATCCAAGAAGAACAGCACCATAACAGCAACAAAATATATCAAAATCGTTCCATATCTGTTTTTTCCTATATCTGAAATACATATATGCATTTATGAAAATAAAATAAAAATTAATGTAACTGAACAGGCAATAGAATATGGCTTTTTTATGATATTTTGGATCGTCCATTTTTAAGTCAGATGATAAACGAGCAAACGATTTAAGTATATTTAAGAATTTATGGAAATTGTCAACGAAGGTTGGAGAATTAAGAAGATATAAGAAAACTGATATCGAAATATTCATGCACATAACTATTAAATTCATAATTTTTGATATATTTTGAGGGAATGAAATTTCACAATAATGGATTTCGTTCTCTGATTTTTTCGCCACTGCCAGTATAGTTTGAATCAAAAACGAATTTAACGCAACGTATATTATAAATCGATAATATACTTTAAATTTGTTATCTGATGTGATATTAATTCCGAAAAATTGAGCCAAGTTTAAAATTGCATAAAAATAGTCACCAAAAATATCTCTTAATTCTTCTCGTATCATTTTAAAGTACATGATATTCTCGAAAATAACTGCTGTACTGTACCTATTCATGAAATTACTTGCACGAAAACAATTTATGTAATAATATTCGATTAAAACTGTTATCCTTTATATTATATATTACGTGTGTAAGTGAGTAAACAATCCATTAACTTGGAGGACATTATAATAATAAATTTTACATTACTTTGTTTACCTAGCACTAATTTTAAAAATTAAGCTTTTAAGATACCTGTCGATATACTACTACTTGCTATATATCTTCATACAGCTGTCACTTACATAAAATGATAACTGTATGAAAGTGGGTCTAAAAATATGTTTGATTACGCGCAAAAACACATTAAAACGAATCTGTACCTGTAAATCTTGCATACTGCTTTCTCTTAACTAGTGATGCCACGAATAGTGATTTTGCCGAATACCGAATACCGAACATTCGGCTACGCTCTTGGCCGAAGCGCCGAATATTCGGCGGCCGAATGTTCGGCGAAATATGTGTACATTTCGCGGGTGATATGTTACGACCTGATACATTACGGTGGGTGCGGTGGCGACACTGCGGGCACATTTGTTTTATTTGCGAGTAGATCATGTCACAACATGCATTATTTGTTCATTGCTACATCAAATTGCGTTACTAAAAAACATCACTGTATCACTTTATATGAAAACTGTTCGCCTAGATTGGACGGCAGACCTTTACAAGTGGTGGTCAGCAAACGCAAAACTATATCCAAGCCTGACAGAATTCGCTAAGATTTATCTATCGTCTCCCAGCAGTAGTGTATATAGTGAGAGGCTATTTTCAGAAGCAGGTATAGTTTATGAGGAAAAGCGCAATCGTTTGCTATCAACAAATGCTGAAAAAATTGTTTTCATTCATTACAACTTACCACTGATAGATTTTAAGTATTAAATGTAATAATTTATGATTAAAATAAATACGTTTTTGAGTAATATGTGCGGTTTTTTTTCATGATTTGGTATTCGGTATTCGGCCGAATGTTGCATACTATTCGGCCGAATACCGAATATTAAAAAAAGTAGCCGAATAGGCCGAATACCGAATAGTAGCCGAATATTCGTGGCATCTCTA